TCCCCCGCCCTCTCCCCCTCCGCCCTCACCGCCGCCGCCCTCGCCGCCGCCGCCCTCGCCGCCGCCACCGAGCCCGCCGCCACCGTCACCCCCGCCCCCGTCGCCGCCACTTCCCTCACCGCCATTGCCCAGCCCGCCGCCGCCATCTCCCCCACCGCCCTCACCGCCACGCTGCCAGCGCAGCCGCCGGGCGACGCGACAGCGGCTAGCGGCCGGGAGAGCCTCTCCAGTGCGGGCTGGGGGCGGCGGCGGCACTCTGCGGGTGGCGGGCGAGCTGCTGGCTGGCCGGCGGCGCGTCTCGACTCAAATTATGGGCCGCCTCTCGGGCGTGCGGCCAGGGGCCCGTGTGGCGCGAGGAGAGGGCGGCGCGCTCGGCGCGCTGGCGGCGGTGAAGCCTCTCAGAGTGGGCGCTGGCTGGCTGAGGGCGTCGGGCGGGTGTGGGGTGGCACTCGGGCCGCCGGACGGGCCGTGATGGCCCGTGTGGCGTTCGTGAGGGATTGTTTGGGCGCCCTGGCAGCCTCCCCGCCTGCGTGACCAGGGCCGGTTTGGCAGCGGTTTGGGCTGTGTGTGGGCTGGTCGCGGTAGGGGATATAGGGCTTGTTTATGGTCCCACTCACCACTCCCGGCCAACGGGGCCTCGCGGCACGCGGGGCGTCCTCGTTTGCAGTAAAAGGCCTCTGCCATCGCTCAGAGTCCCAATCCATGTGATCATCCGCGCCGCCGCGCCCGAGTAGTCCCCAGATGCGACGGCGTCGGGGAGGGCGTCGTCGCGGGCGCCAACGTCGTCATCCGAGCCCCTACGGCTGTCCAAGGGCACGTCTGGGTGACCAGGGGCGGGGGCCGAGCCGTGAGTGCTCCGCCGGGGTGAGCTTCTGGGTCCATGGGACCGCTGCCGGACCCATCCGAGAGCCTCTCCGGACACGTTCGCTCGATGGCCTAGTTGGCGGCCGATATTCGACGACCAAAGCTCCGGGCGCCGCGGCCAGAGGTCCGCCCACGGCCCCAGGACTCGTGGTGGGTGTGGGGTGTGCCTCACGAGGCGGAGAGGCCGCGTGAACGCCCGTAGAAGCTCGCGAAGTGCGGATTTGGAGCGCCGCGCCGGACCTCCGCCGGGGCCCGCCGGGGCGTCGTATGGGCCTCGGGGTGCCCGAGAAGCTTAGAGGTGCGGTTTTTTTTGCTTGTGTCTATCGGTTCATGTCATGGACCGGCCCTGGGAAGCCTTTGACCGCGCGCGGAGGGTGTTACGGGGCCGTGATGATTTAGCGGGAGGGAAATCGGCTGGTTTGCCCAGTGTGATGGGCGTGCCCATCCCGGAGTGGTTCGACCCCACGCAAACCCGGAGAGGTGATGGGATGCTGTCTCGGCGGTCTCAGGCCCAGTGAGGTAGTGCGCCAGAGACTATCCCAGATCCTGCTGAACAAGCTCCTCTTGTAGCTCGATCGGTCACACCGCCATCACCGTCGAGGAGAGGGGGGACGACACTGCTTCAGCAGCGTGCACCTCGATCCTGCACCGTGTTTGTTATGACCCCCCCCAATGAACACACCAGTGAGGGAGGGCGAGACGATCGAGGGGTCCCGTACCATGCGGAATCGACCCTATCCAGTGCTCAAGTGCTCAAGAAGGGAGACGGCGCCGGAGCCGCTGAGGCTCTCATTGTCGGTATAGTGGTAAACAAACTTGGGTTCTTTGCCGTCGACCTCGTCTTGGCATATGCAAACGGGTTCTTCACCTCGTTCTGCGAGCTCGATCGGTCACACCGCCATCGCCGTCGGGGAGAGGGGGGACGACACTGCTTCTGCAGCGTGCACCTCGATCCTGTTACCGTGTTTGTTATGAGCTTATGACCCCCCCCAATGAACACACCAGTGAGGGTGGGCGAGACGATCAAGGGGTCCCGTACCATGCGGAATCGACCCTATATCAAGTGCTCAAGTGCTCAAGAAGCAGGCTGACCCGAGCGGACGTATTTATCCAAGTCGCGGATGAGATCGCCGTTTCGAGTGAAGAGGAGGATCCGTTTTATTTTTCGGACTGGATGGCCGACATGATGGGACGCATCAGCCCCACGCGCCAGCTCTCGATCGACTTCACGCGCAACCTCGAGGAGAAGTCGAAGCAGGCCAGCCCCAAAGACATCGAGGCCAACCTCGAGGCATCGTGGCCAGCGCCAACTGCCATGAGCGAGTCGAGGCGGATGGAGGCCATCGAGGCGTACACCGTCGCCCTTGAGAACAAGACCCGGCCCTCCTGAGCTCATCGCGAATCTTCCGACGGCGGTTCGCCAGGCCCTCGCGAGTAGTAGTGTCCCTCACATGTGTTTGTGCATATTTGCCCTGGATCGGCGCGTGTTCGTCTCTATTTGTGTGTTGATGCTCGTTTCGTTCTACGTCGTGTACTGTACTGTAGTTGTGCATTCGAGGTTTCGCTATTGAATTTTCCCCTCGCCCCCGGCCGCGGCCGCTCTCATTCATCCCCCTCATCCAGCCCCCTCGCCACGCCCGCGCCAAACCCCGACGTGATGGCGAGGAGGAGCAGCAGCGGCACGGGCGAGACGGCGAGCGAGCCGAGCAGGTCGCCGAGCGGGAGGGGGCGAAGAGGCTGATGTGGAAGCAGGAGGAGGAGGGGCCGAGAAGCGGGAGAGAGTGGTGCGATGCGCCTCGCGCGTGCAGACCGCCTCGATGGCGGCCCCGTCCGGCAGCCACGCCGCCGCTGCCGCGCCGCCGGGCGCGGCGGACACGCAAACCGCTCCGGCGGCCGAGGCGGCGAAGGGTGCGTCAAGGCGCAGCCGGGAGGGGCGGACCGCGGCGCCGGCGGAGACAGGCCCGCTCGCGCAAGCAGAGGCTCGCACGCCGCCGCCGCGCAAGAGAGAGACGGCCTCGATCGTTGCCACGGCCTCGTCACGGCGGCGCGCGGCACCCTCCCCGACAGCACCGCCGCGCGCCGCCGCCCGCTGCGCCGCCTGCGACGGCTGCGACTGCAACAGCAGTGGCGACGGCGACGGCGGCGGCGGCGGCGGCGGCGGCGGCGGCGGCTGCTTCGGCTGCTGTTGCGGCGGCGGCGCGCGTGCGAGTGGGTCCGCCTTGCGCGTGGGCGGCCGCCTGCGGGGAAGGTGCCGGCAGGGGTGCGGGGAAGGCGCCGGGAGGGGTGCCGGCAGGGTGCCGGCAGGGGTGCGGGGAAGGTGCAGGCAGGGATGCCTCCGCACGGAGTGGCGCGCGCGAATCTCGCCGCGAGCGTCGCGCCGCAGGCGACGCAAGGCCTGCCCACAGCCGGAAGCGTGACGAAAGCTGCTCCCAGTGCCCCGGCTGCGCGTCGCTGCGCCGGCGGCGAGGGGCCTGCGCCGCCGGCTCGGCCCTCCACGCACGGCCGTGCCGCTCGCGCAGCGCCGCAGCGACCTCGCGCGAGAAGAGGAGCGAGCTTATTAGTTAATGGCTAAGTAATAACCTGGTCCTTTATTAATTCACGGACTCGACCTCGCGCGAGAAGAGCGCCCAAACGGTGGGCAAGTGCGACGCGGCGGTGGAGGCGATGGGCGAGGGTGGCGGCCCGAGTAGCTCGCCTATATGAGGATGAGCGGTGAATGAAGGAGGAGAGCGCGGCGAGCAATTTTGAGGCGCCGCCAGCGAGAGCTCGCCCACGCGCAGCAGCAGCCGGTCGGCGCCTGATCCACGGCCAGACCCGTGAAGCGCGCTGCGGAGTGTCGCACTCCACCGCGCTCTCGGCTGCACCGAAGCGCGTCGCAGCGGCGGCGTGCAGCACATCGCCGCGCTGCAGCGGCGCGCAGTACTCGAGCGCGCGGAGCAGCTCGCCGTGCAGCGCGAGGTACTCGCGAGCGCACCTCGTGGTAATGTTCCAAGAAGGTTCCGGGAAGAGGCTCCGTGTAAAAGGCCCACCACGACACGGTGGAGAGTGGGAGAGGTGCGCACTCGGCGGTCGCCGCGCGGACAGCCTCGACCGCGAGCGGGCCACACTGCCGCGCCGAGAGCGGCCACGACTGCCGGGATAGGGCGGCTCGGGCGGCGGCGAAGGCGGCGTCATGCTCGGATGCCGCCCAGATGGCCTGTTCCTCTGCCCGCCGCCGCTCCATCTCCTGCAGATTACTGGCGAGCCCCTCGCGGATGGCGGTGTCTCGAAAGACGTCATCTGGGACGATGCCTGCCAGCTGGCCACTGGGCACGCTCGCCGCCTCCCGCAGCCGCTGCGAGCTCTGCCGCTCTCGGACTCGCGACCGCCTGGCCGCCGCGACAATCGACGCCTGGCTCGAGCTGTCCAGCGCCCGAGTCGCGATCGCGGCGAGGGCTGCCAGCGAAAGCATGCTCCGAGCAGCTGCTCCGAGGTGGAAACCGGGGGAGCCTTCCGACGAAGGGCCGCCTGGCGAACAAAACAAAAGGACCCGCATTCTCACCAAAATGCATAATGAATTTCTTCCTATGCCCGTCGGACAGAAACTTCGACGGCTTGCTCAAAAGAAATATTCCGTCGCGGCAAATCGTTGCGCGGCCTTCTCGGCCGGTAGCGACACCCATTTCGCCGTGAGAGTTCAACCTGCAAAACGCTCTGCCGCTTACTCGAAACCATGCTTGCTCGCGGCCGTCGAGGCTACCAGACGAGCGCAAAGGCGCTCAACTACTGCGTCGAGCTCGTCCAGGAGCGCGACGTCGAGCGCTACCTCTGCAACCTCTCCGCGCCGGCCGCCGTGCGCCCTGCGCTCTTCGCGCTGCACGCCTTCAACCTCGAGACGGCCCGCGTGCGCTCCTCGACACGCGAGCCTCAGATTGCGCGCATGCGCTTCGTCTGGTGGCGCAGCACCGTGACGGCGGCGCTGCGCGGCGAGCCGCCCGACAACCCCGTCGCGCAGGCGCTCGCCGGCGCCGCCGCCGGTGGTGGTCTCACCGGCCGCTTCTTCCACCAGATGCTCGAAGCGCGCGAGGACGACGTCGACACGACACAGGCTCGCCGCCGCCTAACGCCTATGAGACACTTCCGAGACACTTCTGAGACACTTCCGAGACACTTCCGAGGCGCGGCGGTGGCTCTCCTCCCCTGCACCGGCCTGTGCACGCCTCACCCGCTCCCGCCCTGCCGCCCTCCCCCCTCTCCCCAGCCGGCGGACCGCGCCGAGCTGCTCCGCTACTGCGAGAGGACGGCGGGCTCGTTGCTGCACCTCTCGCTCGAGGTGCCCGAGAGTGGGAGATTGGCCCGAGATTTGCCGAGAGTGGGAGATTGGCCCGAGAGTGGGAGAGTGGCCCGAGATTTGCCGAGAGTGGGAGATAGGCTCGAGATTGGCCTGAGAGACGAGCCGAGATCTGAGAGGAGCCGGTACGAGCTGGCGCTGGTACTCGCCGAGGGGAGCCGAGGGGAGCCGAGGTTGCCCTCTCGCTCGAGGCGGGGGGTGCACCGGCATTGCGTCTCCGTTGGAGGAGTGACGCCGCTGACGCCGTGCCTGCCCTCGCTCGGTGGCCGTCGCTGCCGACGTGCGAGACTCGCCGAGATTGCACGAGACGGCTCGAGATTGCACGAGACGGCTCGAGGTCGCCCGTCCGCCTCTCGACACAAGGCGTCGGGCGTCGCTGCCGATGAACCCACCGAGAGCGCAGCGCTGCACGTCGGCTGCGCCGTCGGCATCGCCCCCTCTGCTGCGACGACGTCGAGCCACTGGACGAGGGCTCAGCACGAGCCGTCACTGAGCAGGCATCGCCACGTTGCTGCGCGGCGCGGCGCACCACGCGGAGCAAGGCGCCTCTCCCCGCTCCACTCCTGCCGACGTGGCGCACGGCCGCACGAACGTGAGCGGTCTAAGTCTTAGGCGCCTCTCCCGGCATCCCTCGCTGGACGCGGCGCCACGCCGTCCCTCAGCGCTCTCGGGCCCTCCCCGCAGGCGCCTCCTACATCCCCGCCGACGTGGCGCAGCGGCACGGTGCTACTCCCGCTCCGGCAGCTCCTGTTCCCACCTCTGCTGGCTCACACATGCACGGCGCCCTCTCTGCGCCAGGCGCTTCGCTCAAGCAACTCCTCTCCGGCCGGCCGAGCGCCCCGCTCTGCGACGCCGCGGCCGAGCTGGCGCACGAGGCGACCACCCACCTCCTCGCCGCGCGCGCGCTGGCGCCGGACCTCTCCCCGCAAGCGCGCGCGCTGCTGCAGCCCGCGGTAGTCGCGGAGCTGGTGCTGCAGCGGCTGCAGGCGCACGGCTACAACGTCTTTGCACCCGAGCTGCGGGAGCCGCTCGGGCTGCGGCTGCGGACCGCGCTCGTTTGGAACGCGGCGTTCCGCTCCTTTTAACTACGCCATGTCTGGTGGGGAGTATGATATATGTTGAGTTTGATCGCGCCTCGCCCAGCCCTCTCACTTGTTGATGTGGGCGATGATTTTCAGAGCCTTTTGCTACGCTCTTTCACACGCTCCTCCTCAGCTCACAGCTGGCCCTGTCGCCTGTGGCGCCCGGGGGGCCGCCGCGCCCCGCCCCGGCCGCACGACCTCTCGAGTCGACGTCGCGCCGCCCGTGCGGCGCCGGTCGCGTGTCCGGTGTGCACACTGTCGTCACACACACGCTGAGGAGAGCCGAGAGACGGAGTGCGGTACGGCGTAGACGGTAGACCACCCACCGAGGGGGCGAGAGCGCGGAGTCAGACCGAAGACACGACGTGGTTCACTCTGGGCAGCGAGCCGACACCGACAGAGAGACCCAGAGAGCGACAGGGAGACAGTCCACGTACAGAACGTATCAGTCCAATCAAGAAGGGAGGAGATAATTTCGGGGGAACGCGAGAGAGCCGAACGCGATGTGTAAGAGCGAAGCAACGGCGTCTCGCCGCACTGCTCTCATCGAAGCATCTCCGCGGATATCCCCCTCCTCTCCCGACAGTTGGCCTACTTCCATAGGCGGAGAGCGCCCTGGTGGTCGACGGTGACGAGCTTGCCGCTGCTCGTGAATGGCGGCGCGGACCACACTGCGACCCCGAACGCGTTCGCGGTGGGCGTACCGCGCGTAACGCCCACTCGTAGGGCTGTGCGAGTCGTCACTCGCCAGCGGCTCGTACCGAGGGTTTGCGATCGAGCGAGGTCGACACCACACCCGAAGCACGCGTCTCCAGATTGCGTCGTCTTGCGCGCGTGTGTGCCGCAGTGTGAGTGGCTCGGCCCGCGCCTCGAGGCCCGCGCCCCGCCCGAGTCAGGGCACAGCGCCGTCCCGCGGCCCGGAAGTACCTCTATGGCAGTCACACCTCCTCGCGAAGCCCTATCAAAAAGATGCACGGTTGGAATAGAAAGCCTGGGAAGATGAGCCGGAAATGCTTCTTGATCCGCAGCTTTAGCTCCTTCATGACGAGGCCATAAGTTGCACGCGCCTTGGCATAGCTCCAAATAATTTGCTCAAGCTCCGGCAGAATTGCCCTTTCCGCATCATCTGCGCATGGGTGTCTCTCCGCATGTTTCGCCTCGATAAAGGCGGGCGACGATCCGCTCGGCGCCTCTCCGCAAGTCCGACTGCGACAGTCGCTCTCCCTCAAGCCGCCGCTATGTTGCAGTTGTCGCACCAACCAACTGCGCCAGGACGTTGATGCTCCTTCGATACGGAGGCTATGGCTACCAGAGTTCGCCGTGGAAGAGGCCGTAGAGGCGCGCAGCATGGTCGCACAACTGTCGCGTACTCGTGGAGAAGGTGTCGAGACTCTCCGACCTACCGTCGCACAGACTTCCATCACAGCCTCGTCAGGTTTTTGCTCATGGTGCATTTACTCTACCCGGTACTCACACCACCGCAGTACATTGAGTCCGGGTTTTTTATGCGTATGATTGTAAGGGCGTAGGGACCCGCCCCAGGACAGGCTCTGTCGTTCTGATGGAGTGCTCTGGTGCCGAGGAGAGCCGCTGGCAAGAGGTAGATGTGAAGCCACGAACGACGGGTCGGTACAACAGGCCGACCAGAGAGTGCAGAGTGAGCACTGCCCCTCTCCAAGATCGACTCCTGTGGAGAAGCCCGCCTAGGACCATCAAGGGGAGGCCAGGTACACTTGACCCGCGCAAAGAGCTAGATGCGCAGCCGTCGCCATTCTACGGCCTCAGAGCGTATGCCTCCACCTGCAGGAGACGTCTCCTGGCTCCGCCCTTCCTACTCCCTGCCCCAAAGCGTCGAGCCGCCAGGCTTGCAACCTCGTGTGCACGCGGTCCCAATGAGGCGATGTGGGATTCAACGAGACGAACGCGGATGGAACGGATGCGGTCGCCGTTTATCAAATGAACTTGGCGCATTTTTGATTCAACGAACCCAGGCCTCTTCCCACCACTCTGCAAGAGCGAGTTTTGTGGCTTATCTGGCTTCCGTCGGTCGTCCCGTGACTGATCGCGCCGCCGCGTTGCACATTGGACACATGCTCTCGCGCGTGGCGCTGACGGGGACTATTGTGCGCCTCGACAAGGCGCTTCCGGTGGTATTTTTTTCGAGCGCAGTGGAAGGGGCCGTCCAGCCACGACTACGAGACTTTGCTGTGAAGAGTGGAGCCATGTGCCACTGTCTGGACGCTGTCTGGACGCTGTCTGGACGCTGTCTGGACGCTGTCTGGACACTGTCTGGACGCTGTCTGGACAGGCTCAGGACTGTCTAGACAGGTGTGGGAGCTCCACAAACCAGGTTGCTGGGAAATAAGAAAGAGCGCAAGACGAAAAGCCGCCTGTTCAGAAGACACCACGCAGGTCACACCGAGCGTTTTTGATCTCTCGGTCTGTACTGTGGGCGCCCGCCCGCCTCTGAACCGCTCGTTTTTCTTCTTTCTCGCGGCTAGATATGAGCGGCGCCGCGAGCCCGAATCTGCTGCCCGACCTGGCGGTGGGCGACCTGACCGCGCTGCGCGCCTTCCTCTCCGGGTGTGGGACGCGCGGCACGTCGCTTACGGCCCAGCTCGACGCGCGGCTCGACACCGAGAAGCAAGACACGCTGCTGACCTGGGCCGCTCGGCACGGGCAAGCCGAGGCGGTGCGGCTGCTGCTTGAAGCCGGCGCAAGCGTGGGGGCGACGACCGGCACCGGCCGCGCCGCGCTGTTCATCGCATGCCAGGAGGGCCACCCCGAGATCGCCCGGCTGCTCCTCGAGGCCGGTGCGGCGATCAACCAGGCCAGCGCCAAAGGCGCCACGCCGCTGTACATGGCGTGCTTCCGAGGCCGCGTCGACATCGTCCGGCTGCTTCTCGAGGCTGGCGCGGCGGTCAGCCAAGCGACGAACGGCGGCTTCACGCCGCTGATCGTCGCGTGCCAGCAGGGCCACGTCGAGTGCGCCCGGCTGCTCCTCGAGGCTGGCGCGGCGGTCGGCCAAGCCCGCGACACCGGCGCCACGCCGCTGTTCATGGCGAGCCAGAACGGCCACGTCGAGTGCGCGCGGCTGCTTCTCGAGGCGGGCGCGGCGGTCGACCAAGCCATGAACAACGGCACCACGCCGCTGTGCGTCGCGTGCCAGGAGGGCCACCTCGAGATCGTTCAGCTGCTGCGCGACGCCGGCGCTTCGGTCGACCAGGCCGCGGAGGACGGCGTCACGCCACTGTTCATCGCGTGCGAGAAGGGCCACGTTGACATCGCCCGGCTGCTCCTCGAGACCAACGCGGCGGTCGACCAAGCCCGTGTCGGTGGCAGCACGCCGCTGTCCATGGCGTGCCACCACGGCCACCTCGAGATCGCCAAGCTCCTCTCCTCCTACGGCGCCTCCCGCGCCGCTACGCCCTACGGCACGCCCGAGGAGGTTGCAACCGAAGAAGGCCACGCCGACCTCGCCGCCTGGCTGGTCGCCAGCCGCGGCTGGACGCCGCTCCAGCACCTCGAGGCGTGCCCGAGACTAGCGGCGGAAGAAGCGTGAGTGCATTGTCCTCACGCTCACTGTCCCTATTCCCGAAGGCGCTCACCGTCGAGCGGGCGCGGGCTCTGCTGCGCGGCGGCGCGGACTCTTCGGCCGGCGAGCCGTCGGCCCTCGAGCGGGCGCGCGTCTTCTGCTCGTGGGGCGAGTCGGATCCGACCGCTGCGGCCGCCGGCTCCACCGTCGCGATCCACTCTCTGGTCTCGCGGCCCTCGATGAACGGCGAGGTCGGCGTCGTCGTCTCCGCGAGCGCTTCGACGGGACGCTTCGGCGTGCGCGTGACGGGCGAGGCCAAGGCCCTCGCACTGAGGCGCGCTATGGCCTCTCCCCCACTCGCCGGATCCTCTCTTTGGACACGCCCCACGCCTCTGCCCTTCCTCAGGCCGGCCAACCTGGAGCCAGCGGCCGCGGCGGTGGAGGTGGGCAGGCTCATCCTCAAGGCGGCGGAGTGGTCGCCGCAGTCCCACGAGCTCTTCCCGGAGGCGGCTCGCAAGTGGGCGGTCGAGGTGATGCGGCTGGGCTACCTGATCGCGTGGGACGAGGAGCGGTTTGAGGGCGAGGGGGCGGCGCCGGGGCTGGTGGACCTCTGGCGCACACACGTGCTGCCGCACGCGGTCCAGGCAGGTGAAGCTGGTCGATGAGGTCGTCTTGAGGATCGAAGTCGTACTTGTCGTTCTCCTGTGAACAAGCGCGATATGAGTTCGAAAGTAAAAAATCAGTAAGTTATCGGCGTCGGAGGAGGGAGGAGCGTGGGCGGCAACTGTATGTTGCTGAGGGGCGACAGACGGCCGGCGGGCAGAGAGAGGCACAGGTAGCCCATCATCTCGTCGAACTCCCCTCGAGGAACTCCCGCCACCCTGTTCCGGCCTTCGAATTTCTGGGTCTGGTTCGCGAACAGTGGTGTTCGCGAACTGTGTGTTGGTGTGTAAGAGGTGTGAAAGTATAAAGCTTGCTTGATTCATGAACTAGTTCAGTGGTTCACCCTCGAACCGACTGTGAACTCTGAACCGTGAACTCGAGAAAGAAGAACTCGAACCTAGGCAGGACAAAAGGGCGAACCGCGAACCGTTGAATGAACGAACCAGGCGGGGCAGCGTCGGGCCGAACCGTGAACCGTGAACCGACTAGCACACCCGCCCCGAGTCCGGGAGAGAGATTTTTAGCAATACCAAACAACTCTAACACTCACACGTAATATATTTGGGGCCTGGAGCCCTGTTCACGCGCGCGCGAGACGTGCAGACAGGGTTGCCAGGTGAGAGCGAATGGCGCGGTTCACGCCTCGCACAACAGAGAGAGAGATGCGCTCTGCATGGTGGGACATAAAAGAGAGCGAGTACTTGGGCGAGTAGGCCGTGCGGTCAACGCTGCCGCGCGCGACTTTGCGCGCGAGGCGGCGCAGCTTGAGAACGGCGGTGGGCGAGTCCGTGAACCGCGAACCGTGAACGAACCGTGAACCGCGAACTAGTTCATGAACCGGGTTCACGGTTCACCTCGTTGAACTGAGTGAGCTGGAACTGAGAGGCCTGGCGGCTGCTGCTGGGTGCATGCAAGCGCCGGGGGCAGGGATTTTTCTTGTCGACTCGATCTAGATACCAACTGACCCTTACAGATCACAGATCACAGATACCAACTGACATTCGCGCAGAGTCGCGATGTCAAACTCCGACGGCCTCGACTGGACCGCCCGGGCGGCCGACGGCGCGGTGCGCGGTCTCGGCCTGGGGTTTCTGTGGGCGGTGTGGCATGCGCGGCAGGAGGTTCAGCGCGTGCCTCGAATCGCCGCGCCGGCCGCGCTTGCGCAGCTGTTCGGTTCGTCGGTGTTGGGGTTCGGTGCACTGCTTTGCGGCTACTCAGGGCTCTTCTCACTCGCCGAACCCCACGCTGGGAAGCTGCCGGCAGCGGGCATCGCCGGCGCCAGCGTTGGGCTTGTGATCGGTGCATATGTCTGGCCGGCGCAGAGCTGGCAGCTGATCGGCTGGCAGACCGCCGGCTTCTCGGCTCTGTGTGCCGCGTGCCAACTGTTCACACTGCCGCCGCCCGACATGGACGGCCATAGGCCACGGCGTTGACTTTCGCTGTGTGTCTTCAATAGATGTTATGGTGAGTTTGTGATGTGCTGTGAGACTGAGAGGAGAGAGAGAGGCCGCATCGCGCACATATGCCCCGCCACCCCGGGAATGCGAATCATCTCCGCCTTCCGTACGTACGAAGAATAGAAAAATGAGCGCACACGCACACGAATGGCGAAACAACGGGGGATGTCACGCCCACTGTCCCCTCCCCGAGAACCGAGAGCCGTGGGCAGACCAGGCCCCTAAGCCCTATAGACCGGCTATATCTCTACGGACAACGTGCGGTCGCGAGGCGGCTCAAGATCGTCGCCCCTGTGCCCACTGCAGTCCACAGCGGCAGCGTCCGCGGGCAGCGAAGCCATCCGCGGAGCTGATGCTGGCGGGGCGTCCTCCTCTCCGGTGCCGGCGGGCGGCGCCACCTCCTCCGCCGGCTCCGCCTGCACCGCGTCTGTCGCCCCCACCTCCACCTCCAACTCCAACTCCACCTCCTCCTCCGCCACCTCCTCCTCCTCCTCCACCTCCTCCTCCTCCTCCTCCTCCGCCTCCTCCGCTGCCCCCTCCACCACAGCCTCAATCTCCTCCTCCTCCTCCTCCGCCTCCCACCCCACCGTCTCAGACTCCTCGCCGCTCCTCGAACCGCCCCCCCCTCCGCCGTCGCCCAACGACGTAGCCCCCACCTCCACGGTCGCAACGCCACCGCCCGCAGAGGCCGACCCACCGCGGTCGTCCTCCGCTCCGCCGATCCCACCGCCGGCTTGCGCATGCGCTGCCGAGCCGCCTCCACCGCCGGAGGCTGCCAAACCGCCTCCTCCGCTGCTGCTGCTGGCAATCGACCCGCCTCCGCCGCCGCTGCTGGAGGCAGCCGAACCACCTCCTCCGCCGCTGCTGGAGGCAGCCGACCCGCCTCCGCCCCTGGCAGCAGCGGCCGCCGCCGCCGCCCTCGCCCCGCCGAGCGAACTGTAGCACTCCCCGTTCGGCGAGACGACGCGGTAGTGACAGTCGCCGCGCCGGTAGGCAGCCCAGCCGGGCGGTAGCCCCTTCTCGGCCGCCGTCGAGAGCGCCGTGGCGGCCGCCGTCGGGAGCGCCGTCGGGAGCGCCGTCGGGAGTGCCGTCGGGAGTGCCGCCGCCGCCTTTGCCGCCGCCGCCTTTGCCGCCTTGAGCTGCTCGAAGCGGCGCAGCGCCTCGCCGTGCAGCTCGCCGCCGCCCGCCTCTCGCTGGTCGTGCAGCTCGAGGAGCTGCTCCTGATCACGCAGGGGAGGTGTGAAGAGACGCCGCGCCGCCCCCAAGCGGCGGCACGCGCAGCTCGAGAGCGCTCCTTCATAGCGATCGTGAACTCGGGCGGCGCGGCGGCGGCGGCACCGGCGGTAGCGGCGGCGGCGGCGGCGGAGGCTGAGGCGGCGGCGGCGGTGGCGGCGGCGGTGGCGGCGGCGGTGGCGGCGCAGGAGGAGGTTTGTGGCTCGGCCTCGCCCTCCTCCATACTGTCCTCGGGCGCGTCGCAGGATCGCGTGTGCGTCTGCGCGTTCATCGAGCAGTACCAGACCGCGGGCAGCGCCTCGGGGCGGTAGGCTGGTCCGGCGGGCAGGCGGCGCCACTTGTCGCAAGCCTGCGACGTGCGGCACACAAGGGCCACGCGTGCGGACGAGCACGGCGGAGTACAGCCGAGTCCAGCTCTCAATCCCGCCTCCTCTCGAGTGCTATCTGGACACACACAGGTCTCAGCATCTGGGCTAAGTAGTAGTTAATTAACAGGCCTCAGCATCTGGGCTAATTAGTAGTTAATTAACAGGTCTCCGCATCTGGGCTAATTAGTAGTTAATTAGCAGGTCTCCGCATCTGGCTTCGCAAGCGTCGCACTGCGCCCAGTTGGTGGCGCGAGGCCGCGCCGCCCTCTTCAGCGGCGGCCTCCCCTCCTCGGCGGAGCTCCCTGCGTCGGCCTTGCGCTTGCCCCCCCCCCCCCCTCCCTCCCCATGCGCCGCCTCGACTGCCCTGCAAAGCCCCTGCACGACCTTGTCGACGCACCTCGCCTGGCACCGCGTGCAAGGGGGGGAGGGGGGGGGGCGGGACTTCGGCACAGACCTCCTCGCCCCGCCCCCCGCCCTGCGACCGCCGCCCTACACCCGCGCACCGCCTCCCTCGCCGCCCTGGCCTCCGCCCGCGCCGCCGCCCTCTGCGCCTCCGCGGCCTCCTTCTCCGCCCTCGCCGCCGCACGCCTCGCCGCCGCGGCCGCCTCCCTCTCCGCCCTCTCTCTCGCCCTCTCCGCCTCGCGCCGCGCCGCCTCTTCCGCCCGCACGTGCCGCACCGCCACCCGCTGGCACAGCTCCGACAGCGCCGAGCCAACCGCGGTGCGCACCCTCGCCGCCCGCCTCTCCTCCTGCCGGGAGGGCGCGAGAGAGATGAGGGACGGCGAGATCTGGCCGAGATCTGGCCGAGATCTGGCCGAGATCTGGCCGAGATCTGGCCGAGATCTTGACCTCATCAGCCAACGGGGAGAGGGGCGGGGAGAGGGGCGGGGAGAGGGGCGAAAGAAGGGGCGGGAGAAGGGGCGGGAGAAGGGGCGGGAGAAGGGGCGGGAAGAGGGGGCACAGGAGAGGCCTTCTCGGCCGCCGCCGCGCGCGCTCGCTCCTCGGCCGCTCTCCTTCGCCGCTCCCTCGCCGCCTCCGCCTCCGCCTCCGCCCTCCGCGCGCGCTCCTCGGCCGCCGCACGCCTCGCCGCCGCGGCCGCCTCCCTCTCCGCCCTCTCTCTCGCCCTCTCCGCCTCGCGCCGCGCCGCCTCCTCCGCCCGCACGTGCCGCACCGCCACCCGCTGGCACAGCTCCGACAGCGCATGCTGCACAACCTTCTCCGCCCGCGCGTCCGCCGCCGCCTCGCGCTCGGCGCGCTGCCGCTCCTTTGCTCGCCGGCGCTCCTCGCAGCGCTCTTGCGGCTCCGCGCTGGGGTGCATGCTGCACCGCCACGCCGCATCGGCGGAGGGCGGGTCGAACCAGCGCGGAAGCCGCCGCCACTTGTCGCACAGGTCGCACTGCGCCCACGCCGTCTTCTCCTCCTCCTCCTCCGCCTCTCCTTCCTCCTCCGCCTCCTCCTCCTCCTCCGCCTCGTCCTCCGCTGCCGCCGCCTCGCCGCCTTGGCGCGCCTGCAGGCCGAGCAGCTCGCGGACAGCCTCCACCTCCGCCGCCGCCTCCGCCTCGTCGCTCGCCATCCCGGCCGCTGCGGGCGGTGGCGGCCGCTTTCGACGGCCGAGCGACCCATCTCTGCCCGCCACCTCCTCTGGCGAGCCGCAGGCGGCGGGACAGCGCCTCCGCTTCTCGGTCAGCGTCGGCACCTGGCAAATGCCGTAGTGCCACGCAGGTAGGGTGCAGCCGCCGAGCCCACAGAGCAAGCCTCCCGATGGGCTGGAGGACGCGACCGCTGGGCTTGTCGACGCCGCAGGGCTCGAGCCGGCGCGGCGCTTTCTGGGCGGAGGCACCTGGCAAATGCCAACGTGCCAGGCAGGCAGCGTGCAGCCGCCGAGGCCACAAAGCAGGACCATGGCGGAGCACGGCGGGCAAGGACAAGCGCGAGAGGTCGTCACCCACCGCGGTTGCCCGGGCCGCAGGACACTCCGCGGCGCCCAGTCGCCGCGCAGCGCCAAAAGAATTTTACCTTTGCTCACGACATTAAAATCCCTGTATCGTCCTTCCAAAATCCTGCTCGTGCAGGTGGGGACCCTGTCCTCCTCCCCCATCCCTCGTCTGGGCTTGTCTGTTTTCTTTCTTTCTTTCTTCTACGGCCAAAAATAATTTCATTACCGGGCTGTCGCAAAGAATTTTAGGCCGCTAAAAAGAATTATCAGCCACCCTCCCTCCCAGCTTATCTTTCTTCTTTCTTCTTTCAATTAATTGGCTAGGGCTGCAGAAGCAGACAAACCAAACAACTCTAACACTCACACGTCATTTGGGGCCTGGAGCAGCACTCTCAGAAGCAGCAAACAAAAACATCTCTCTCAGAAGCAGCGTATCTCAGTCGTTCTTCACACGGCCATCGCAGACACGCAGAGCAGGATTGTGAATGAGCTTGCCTGCGCCCTGCGCCGGCGAGGGCAGTCGAGTGCACGGACGGAGCTAAGTAAGACCTAAGTGCTTCGCCGTCCTCGCAGGTGAGTCGCTTAGCCTTAGGCGCGGCTCCCGTGGTGTGTACCTGAACCTGTGTTGGTGCCAGTGCGCGCCAGTCCCGTGCCTAGTACTTGGGTGGGGAGCACTTGGAGCCTAGTGTTGTCTGTTGAGGGAGTTTTTGTACTTGTGAAATTCTTTTTCTTTCAGGCGCCCACGAAATGAGAAATGTTTGAACGAGTGGTAGGGGTGAAACAGACAGCGATCGCAGAGTCCTCGCCGACGTTTTGCGGAAGCTGGCCATTTGCAATAGCTAGGCGGAGCAAGTCCAAGTATACTTGGTTGGAGCACTTGGAGTGCAGTCGCCAGTCGGTAACCTCACATCCAGGGCCGGGGAGCTGAGAAGCGCACCCAGCGGGCCGGATGATCGGGATCGGGTTACGGGCTAGAGAGCCCTAGCCCTGGGGGGTGCGCGGTCGCAGGGCCATAACACGGTTCAAGTGTTCGCGGCGAGGATGGGAGTACGAAGATGTTGACGCGGTAAAACGTGACCCCGCCCCAGGTCACATTCCCTCGCATGGCAGGCAACTTCATGCCAATGCGGCACGTCCGCCTGTGTGGCCTCAGCGCACGCGACGATCTCAACGGCTGCACTGGCAAGCTCCTGACCTTTGATCCGGTGAAGGCTCGGTGGCGTGTTGAAGTTGAAGCCGGAGAGTGCGTCCGTGTACGAACTGCGAACCTGGAGGCGGTGAAGATGAAGGAGGGGCTATCGACAGAGTGTTCGATCTGTCTCGAGCCGTTCATGAGCAACCAGGAAATCGCCCATCTTGGCTGCGGCCATGCGCTGCACCAAGATTGTTTGTACAGCCTCCGCACGGTGCACAGGAATGACATCGTCTCCTCCCTCGGTGAGGCTGGGCAGACGGCCCAGCGATGCCCTGTTTGCAGGGCATGGCATGGCAAGAGTGGAGATAATGCCGACACCTGGTGGAATTATCCGGCTTTCACACTCATCAATCAAATGCTTGGCTACATCTTTCAGCGGCGGTGGCAGTCGCAAGGGCAGGATCGCAGCGCCGCCGAGGAGATGGTTTTCATTGAAGAGCGGTTCGGCCGGGCGTATGCGGCTGGGCAAGCTGAAGACCAGCTGAGGGCGCTGGACGCTGCGCTGAAGCGCCTGCGAGCGAACTTTCGTCAAAACGGAGGTACCGGCCACATCGATGACACGGTGGGTGCCGACTTCACAGATGCGTTCGCCTCAGCGGCCGTAGTCTTCGTTCGCCCAACAGGGCCGTCGGATGCGGTCGAGGACTCAGACAGCCTCTACTGGGCATGTGTGCCCGCGTTTCTACAGACACTGGGGATGACGCCAGCTGACTCCATCAGCTGGCCTGTCGGCACACCTCTCGCGCGCGCGTGAACTCCCTGGGTCGTGCTAGCCACAATTACACATGCTTTTGGAGCTTTGCGAGAGGCGGCGAACGGAGCAAGAGCGGTGTGCGCTCCTGCTCATCGCGTTGCGGCCGTGGAGGCACCAAGGCCGCGGGCTTGGCGTGCGGTAGTGAGTCAGCGGCGGCGACTTTTCTCACGACACTGATGAAGTAATGCGGGGCCCTCTCGGCAGCGACGGCACCGGCCACCGCCTGTGTGCAAACTGCAATGAATGTCTCGAATGTGCATGGGGGGACCAGACGATACTCGTTACTGAGTGACTCGATAGTCGGAAGGCACACGGGGAGGAGCAGGAGGGCGAACGTTCGTGGAGCGCGGCCTCAAATCGATCGTGCGTAAAACGGCTTTATAACCAGTACCCACAGTGGCAGTGCAGCAGAGAGCAGTACGCGTTCAGAGGCGTTCACCCGATTTTCCCGATATTTATAAAGACAACCTCGCATCCTCACGTGATTCACTGAATGGGACGTGTCGCATCACCACAACACTCGTATCCGCGCCTCGTACTCTCGCCTCAGCCTCTCCTCCTCCTCCTCCTCCTCGCTCGCTCGCTGCGCCGGCCTCTCAGGCGGCGGCGGCGCACTCGTCCGGCGGCTCGCCACAGACGACGCCGTGCGCAGCCAAGTCACCGTGCTCCGCGGAGCACTGGCCGCGCTCCGTCCGCACTCGTCGTCGCCGCCGCCTCGACCGCCGCGGTCTCCGCCTCCATCTCGAGCGATGGCGGCTCCACCACCTCGACCGACAACACCTCGGCCGACGACGCCTCGACCGACGGCCCTCGAGGCGCGCGCATCCTTCCGCACGAAACGGTTCGAGGCGAGGGTGCCACGACCAGCCTCCGCCTCCGCCTCCTCCACCGCCGCCCCTAAGGGCGCCTCCCCGACAGCCTCCGCCACCGTCCCCTCCAGCCTGGCGACACAAGCGACGCCTCCTCCACCCCCGCCTCCTCCGCCTCCGCCTCCTCCGCCCCCGCCTCCTCCGCCCCCGCCTCCTCCTCCGCCTCCTCCGCCACTCCTTCCTCTGCCGCCGCCGCCATCGCCGCTGCCTCTGGTGGCCTCGCTGCCGCCTCTCCTCCCTTGGCCGACGCCACCTCGATCTCCACCGCCGAAACCGCCGCCGCTCCCGCCGTCGGCGCCCGCCCTCGACGCAATGGCCATGATCCGATGCAGGACAGATGAGCCGCAGCCTTCGCTCCTGCCGCCGCTCCCGCCTTCACTTCCTCCGCCGCCATCGCTTCCGCCGCCGCTCCCGCCTTCGCTCACGCCGCCCTTGCTCGTGCCGCGGCTCCCGCCTTCGGTACCACCACCGCCGCTTCTGCCGCCGCTCCCGCCTTGGCTCCCGCCGCCGCCGCTGCCGCCGCCTCCGCCTCCACCGATGGTGGCCCGCAGCCCCGCCTGCTCGCTCTCGCTCAGGTGCTCGAGCAGGGCGGGCGAGATGCCTGAGCACAGGCGGGCGGTACGCAGGCCCGGGTGAGCGGGGCGAGAGGCGCACGCTGGCCAGAGACCAGATCCCTACACGCGCCGCAGAGTGCCACCGGGAGGCAGGGGCCGCGCCACCGAATGCAGCGGTTCGCAGGCCGCCGTCGGCGAGCGCGAGCGCCGTCGCTGTCGGAGGGAGGTCGCCAAGTCGAAGGCAGTCCCACAGCGTGGCGGCGTCGGCGGCGTCGAGGTTGGCGATGAGGCAACGAGCGAGGCCGACTTGGCCAAAGGCGAGCGCCTCGCCCCTGCTGACGCCGCGAGCCGCCGACGCTCGAGCCTTCGCAAAGCCTCCGTCGCCCGTCGCGGACTCGTCGATCGGCTCCGCCAGCAGCTCCTCGGCGAGCCGCAGGTGCGCGGCGAGGGCCGCGGAGTGAGCCTCGAGCGCCGAGTCGCCGCACGCAGTCTGACGCCCGGCAGCGGACCGGCAGAGCTGTCGGAGGAGCGCCACGTAGGAGCGGTCGCCGTCGGTGTCGCGTGCGAGCGCCTCGTTAGGCGAGGGAGGCGGGCGGTGAGGGCAGCGCTCTTTAGGGTTGCGGTGGGTGCAAGTAGCGCGCGGCTGCCTCACCTCTGCTCGCTGCCGCTCCTCAGACTCGACCCGGGCGGAGAGCTGCAGCTGCATGGCCCTGCGCAGCGAAGCCGCCGCGGCCTGAGCTTTAGGCTTGAGCTCCGCGTCCGCGTGAAACGCGAGGGACGGCATCAGCAGGGCTTTGCCAAGCGGCGGCGGCGGGGTTGCGGATGAGCGTGGATGCCCCGGGTTTCTTTTCGTTCGCCGTTTCTCGAAGAACGAACCGATTAGAGCTCCTCACACATCGGCCCCAAGGTCAGATCCTTCTCCTCTGTTGATGGTAACACTTGTCTACTCGCTGGAGCCGAGCAGGAGGGCCCAGCGCACAACCCCTGGTCAACTGAGGGTCCTTCTTTCTCTCTATACACGGCTGATGGAGTATACGGCTTTTCGCGGGATGCGGGCAGCGCGGTGTCGCGCCGCATGCATGGCGTCCCCCCCCCCCCCCCCCCCCGCTTGGACCTCTTTCTCTCCCTGCCCCGAGCAACGCTACTGTTTTCTGGTAAGCGTAATGCGACTGCGGCGGCGTCGCTCCTTGGATATGCGGCGTTGCAAATGGAGGCAGGCCGAGTGAGTGCGAGCCGCACGCGGCACGGACGGGAGGCCATGTCCCGCGCAACGGCGAGCGAGCGGCACGAAAGAGTGCAATGTCGCGCGTCGCGAAACGTCTCCTGCTCAGCGAAATTCTTGAATTCCAAACCGCACGAGATTCACATTTTTTTAAGCGTGACATGAAATGTGCTCAAGCGCGGCTCGCGTTGAAATGGAGTCGGTTGTTGAGCGGCTCGCGTCGGCGGAGCGGGCGCTCCACAACGTTCAAACGGGGCTGAAGCTCGTCGACACCGTGCTCAAGCGAGGTGTGCATAAACCAGACACCACTATGTTATATCATAGGATATAACATACTGAGATACCAGGCTCTTCCCTGGCATATCAGCTATCAAGAAACCGTCTGACTTATAGGAGGAGGAGCTCTGTATTCTGCTTTTTCGACACATCCCACAGAAAACATCCGGGCCATGGGAATATCGGTCCAGACACTCTGGGTTCTGGTTTTTCGAGGTGTGAACGATCTCCCCGTGGAGGGGTCATTCCGGCGGAATGACCCTTCATTAACTAATCGGATTCCGAATGGGTCGAACGGGAGTACTAAGACAGCAGCATGTTCTGGGTGGGAGGAACCCTTGGGGGGAACCGTTTTATCGCTCCAGGCATTATGGTTTCTGGTTTCTGGTTTCTGCTCCGAAAGCGAGGTTGGCGGCGCGCCGCGCTGCCACGCACTTTTGTGGCTCACGGGAGGGAGGCCTGCGATGCGGTCGAGTCCGCCAGGCTGCCGCGATCCCGAGCGGAAACGCCGTGGCAGCCAACATGGCTGCCTCGTGCATCGGACGCCGACCGGCGGGGCCATTGCTTGTCATGCCCAAGCCCTGAAAGGCTGAGCTGTGAAAGCAGGCGTTGTGCGAGTGTTTTGAGTACCTATCACCTATCAATAGAGAGTTTGGATCTACTCTGTTGGAGACAGAAAGAAGCTCTATCACAACGTCGGCGGAGCGGCCAATGCGCGCGGCGATCTTGAGGGCACCACCAGGAGCTGGCAAGGCCTCATCGCACGCTACCACACGTGCCGATCCGTGCCGAGATTTACCCGCACCCGGCGTTGACAACCTCAGCTTAACACTCATCACCAGTCGCGACCAATCGGAGCAGAAACCAGAAACCAGAACGAATGCATGCCGCTTTTTTGCTGTTCCCACTTGAAAAAAATCGGATGGGGGACACCTGTTCATTGGCCGGAATGAGCTCATTAGGACGAAGCGGGAGATGTATTCACACCGCAGAAACCAGACCCACAGGCAGATCCCACGAGAAATCGAGGCGGGTGTCCCAGAAAACAGATCCCAGAAAAAACAGAGAGCGCCGCAGAAACCGACCGACCCCTGGGTTTTCGGCTATGGGAAACCGCCATGGGAAACCGCAGCAGAAACCCGATGGGAAACCGAGGTCTGGTGTCTGCTTTGTGCACGAATGGCTCAAGCTCGCGTACGGCGAGGGTGTCGGGCTACCTCTCATTCCTGCGGTGTGCAGCGCGGCTCGCGGCGTCCTTCAGGCCGTGCAAACGTCGCGAACTGTGATCAACGACGCGTTATCCGCTGCCCAGCGCACGATCGACGTCCTCGAGCTGCTGAAGCTCAGGGCTAACAACGTAGAGCGCATGTGGACGTGAAGAGCCGGGCGAGCGTCGAGGATCGGATGCGCGAGTTGCAGCGGCTGCTCGAAGACGTGCGCTCGGCGGTCGCTGCTTTTGGCAAGAAGGCTGGCTGCGGCACGCGCTCAAAAAGGGGAGGCGCAGCACGCTGTCGCAGCTCGATTGTCGCAGCTCGATTCGGAGATCACAAGCCAGCTCGACCTGCTGCTCAAATTCTACTACTCGTACCTCGCCCGCGACGCGGACATCATCGGCCGGCTGCAGGCGCGCGAGTACGCTGTCGAGGCGGAGGTGGAAAGGCAGGTCACCGAGCGGAAGGCGCTGGGCGAGGCTGTCGACGCGGAGGCGCTCGAGAAGGACTCCGAGGTCGTGCGTGGCATCGCCATCGCCTCGGGCGTGTCGGAGGCCGAGTTCCAAGAGGAGTTGACGCGTGAGATGCGCGAGGGCTTTGCGCAGCAGGGCCTCAAGCTCGATAAAATCATCGTGATGATGGCGAACCTTTCGGCAACGGACAACGGGGAGCCGGACCGCAGAGCTCACGGATGTCGCTCTACGCGTACGACCGTATCTAAGCCGGACGCGCCCCCCGGTCAGAAGGACAAGCTCGCCGCGCGGCTCGGAAAGGGCTCTTTCGGTGTCACCTACCGGATGCGCAAGATTGCTGGGATCGATGCGAGGCTGTACGCAGTCAAGATGATCGAGTCGGAGGAGCTGGACGGCGCCGGCTTGGAGAAGGAGGCGCGCCTACTCTCGCTGCTCGAGCACGAGAACACGCTGCGCTTCTACGACGCCTTTTGGCACGACACCGACGATGACCGCCTCTTTGTCATCGTCACGGAGCTGCTCACCGGCGGCTCCCTCGCCGAGAAGATCGCCGCCGCGCCGCCACCGCCCGAGGCGCCATACGTAGGACGTATTTCTTCTCAAGCTGTGAATACCCCTACTCGCGTACCCGGGTACGACGTCGTGTGAAGTGCGCGTTCACTTTCGCGTCGGCCGACAGCGTGTCCCTATCAGCCAAGTGCTCTTGGTTTGATCGTTCCTGTACGCCTCGGTACAGACCCTCGCTCCGTGTACCACGAGCTCACTACACCAACGGACAAGCGTGTGAGAATGAACGAATTGTTCCCGATCGCACCGGCCGAGCTCACGGAATCGCTCATCTTCCTGTCCGAAGCGCAGCAGCCCGTTGTCGACCAACAATTCCCCTCCCTCAGGTCCTACATGCTGCCAGCCTGGGTACCTCAGCGCCTAATTGCGCAGGATATGGACAGACACTTTCCGGGTCGGTACCCTCCGGAAGGCGTTGAGAAAGCGGAAGCGCACATCGGCGGGCCATACTTGTGGGCGACCGAGCTCGAGAACGTACACTCAACGTGGAACTTCACTGAGCCACAACTCAACATCGATGGCCAGATGTTTCGCGATTCGGAGACTTATTACCAACATACGAAGCCGGATCCCTTTGACGCGGCCGCGTGGGATGCGCAGCGGGATGGGGTGATGGAAACCGCCGTGCGCGCAAAGCTGGCGGCCACGCCGGAGCTCGCGTCTCTGCTTCACGCGACGCGGCACCACCCGCTCCTCTCCCTCAAGCTCGATGATTACTGGGGCTTTCACCCGGAGCGCGGCGGCGAGAACAAGCTCGCAAAGAGCTGTGGGAGCTACTGCGAGACGAGCTCGGCGGCGGCGGCGGCGGCGGCGACGACGACGACGGAGACGGCGGAGATGGCGGAGCAGGAGGCAGCAGCGGGGGCGGCGGTAGCGATGGCGGCAGTGGCGGCGGCAGTGGCGGCAGTGGCGGCGGCGGCGGCGGCGACAGCGGAGACGGCCGAGCTGGAGGCAGCAGCGGGGGCGGCGGTAGCGATGGCAGCAGTGGCGGCGGCGGCGTTGACAAGCGACCTGCGAGCGAGCTCTCGCCCGCCGAGGGCGATCGCACTGGCAAGCGACCTGGGACTGGCGCGGCGACGGCATCAGAACGTGTCGTGTGCATAACAGCATATTTTCAAGTTTAAGAAATATTCAGGTGTTTTAGAAGAACGTGGGCCGGCACCCAAAGGTGCCAAACTGTACACAAACCCGGCGAACGGTGCGTCGGGTGGGGCTTCAACGGTCTCGGCGGGGCATCATTTCCATGGCCAGCGAGGCCCAGAAGGCTGCCTGGCGCAGGTACGAGCAGAAGAAGCGTCTGCCGCGCAAAGACGATCGCGAGCGCGGCAAACGCGACCGCACTCGCGATCAGCAGGCCCGGCGCGCGCGCAAAAAGGCGGCCGCCATCGCCGAGCGGGCACAAGAGGCAGCGGCTGCTGCTGCAACGACGCCGGCCTCTGACTCGGCGGCCACCGCGCTCGACGTCCCGGACGCAGCGCTCGAGATGGGCGTCGAGCAGCACAAGCAGCGTGGCATTGCAGGCGCTGCGGCGCACGAGGAGCCCCTCTCGGCCGGCAAGGAGGCTGCGCTGCTCGAGGAGATCCGGCAGCTCCGAGCGCAGCTCGCGGCGGCGGCGCCCGCGAAAGGGCTGCCTCGGCCGGCGCCTTCGCGCGGCGCGATGGCTGCCGCCGCTGCAGGCGCCGGCCCCGCCGTAGCCGCCCGAGCACGCGGTGCCGCACCTCTCGGCCCGCCACCCTCCCGTGCGCCGCGCCTTGCGGGTGCCGCCTGCGCGAGCCGCCCGCGCGCCGCCTGCGCGCTTGTCTTGCCGTTGTGTGAGATTCGCGACGGCCGCCGGCCGAGCGAAGTGTTTGGCGAGGACGCCACGGTCACGGTGCTCGCCGCGCGCCGCCGCAGCCGCGTAGGCACGTAATGTTTATTTTGATACGCGATACACACCACCGCCACGCGATCTCGCTCCGCCCCGGAGTCGTGGTTTATGTGCGAGTCGTGGTGGTGTGCGAGGGTTATCCGTACTCTGATCAACACCCAGCGCGGCGGCGTCTCTCTCTCCTCCTCTCTCGCTCGCGGCAACAAGAGTCGCCATCTCTTTTGCGTCCCGCTCAAAGATCCCGGCACTATACACCATCTCGTCCATCGGAGACCATGCAGCGCTCCTTTGAGTTCTGTTCACAGGCGCGCTCTGATCGTCGTCGACCCGTCGTGCGCCCGCCAATGTGCGTACTCGCGCAAGCACAAGTTATAGCAATACCCTACGACCCACAACGGGAGGGTCGTGGAGCGGGTGACCCAGCCTCTGGTGCGTAGAGTGTTGAGCGACATCTTGTAGTGCGTCTTCGACTACTTCGACTTGCGGTAGAGGCACTCGATGTACCACCGGCCCGTGGTGTTGTTCTTCCTCACCGTCGGCGTGCAGCCGACGGTGGTCCACGCGCCAGAGGCAGAAGAGGGCGGGTTGGTCATTATCGCCGTCTGTCCCGCGCGGAAGGGGTTGAATTCAATTGGGATTTGCACGAGTCGACGCGGCGTCGCGACGTGAAGAAGTGCGTGGCATGTGCGTGTACGAGACGGTAGGGCTGAATGGCTCGGCTCGCGTCGCTCTTCCAGCCGCAGCCCTGGATTCTGGCCGGACGCCGAAGCGGCGCGCGCAACGGCCGGCGCGGCTTGGGAAGGAGGGAGCGCGCCGACCTATTCAGCCCCTCTAGGGGACTGAGGCCACCACTAGCCTCCTCGCCAACCGACGCTCCGCTAGCGTGTCGAGCGAACCTCAAGCGACTTCGGATGGCTAAGTGGGGCTGGGCGCCAACCTGTGTGCTCGCTATTCATCCGTGGATCTGGCCCAGCGCCGACGAGTAAGACTCAGCCCCGCACGCACCCCTCACCAAATGCCGCCTCAGAGCGCCAGCCACCTCTTACGCGCGGCCCGCCGGCGCCCTCTCGCGGCAAAAGGGTCGAGCGAGCGGGCAGTCGCGATGTCTGCGCACCCGCGTGCCGTGGGTGGGCCTTCTCGGCGGAGACGGCACCGTCCCGATCGAGGTGAGGCAAAAGCAAATCAGCCGCGCCTCGCAGTCCGCGCAGCCACTGTTGCTCCCGCACGGCCGCGTCAAGATCACCGTGGTCTGCTACGAGACGTTTGCGCTGCAGCCCGGGCAGCCCGTGGAGATTGCGCGAGCAGGCGGACATGTCCAGGACATGTCCACGACCTGTCCGAGACATGTCCCATAGGCAGCCCGTGGAGATTGCGCGAGTCGCGGAGACGCTCGAGCTCTCCCGCCGCCCGCTGGAGAACCTCACCGCTAACGACACTGTGCAGGCCGGACGGATTCGGCTCTCGCTTCTGAAGCGGCAGCACTCCAGCTCCCCCGCCATCGGCTGTGTGTGGCTCCGGCTGTCGGGCTCGCACCAATCGCGCAGGAACGCGCTGCTGCGCTCCGTCCAGATACGTTCCGTGCCTAGCCTACTCGCACAAGCGCCGACGGCGCTTACGGGCCAGCTCAGCACCGCTCGCCGCCGAGAGCTGGCGTCGCTCTACGCGTCCTTCTGCCCGCGCCCCGCTCCCCTCCCCGCTCCCCTCCCCGCTCCCCGCCCCGCTCCCCGCCCCGCTCTCCCCGCGCTGCCGCCTCCGAGTGCGACTTGCTGCTCGAGAGGCTGCGCGCCGCCTTTGACGACACCAGCCTGCGTCGCCTGCTGGCGGCGGGTGCGCGGCTCGAGCTGCAGATGGAGAGGCGGCCGGAGCAGTGGTCTGCCGAGGCTGAGGTTGAGTTCCGCGCAGAGATGGAGGGCGCGAGGGCGCGGCTGCGGAGCCTGCGCGCGAATGCGCCTCAGCCGGCCGCCGCCCGGCCGGAGCCTCCGAGTGCCTTCATGTGCCCGATCTCGCACGAGCTGATGAGCGACCCGGTGGTGGCGTCGGATGGGCACTGCTACCAGCGCAACGACATCGAGTCGTGGCTCGAGATGAAGGGCACCAGCCCGATGACGGGCGCGCCGCTCGCGCATGCGCAGCTCTACCCCAACTTTTCCCTGCGGAGCCAGATCGAGAATTGGAAGGATCTGATCAACGCGGCATGATCTGTTGACTTGTCACTCAATAGTCATGAGAGACGCGCGTGAAAATGTTCCCCGCATCTATTTGGATTTGCCCTACCGTACCGATACATATCCCAAAAGAAAGCAGAATTTGCGCGGGGCGCCAGCACACTCAGGCGTTGCCCGCCAAAAGAAAGCCAATTCTTGACTTGGTCCCTGCGGGCGGTCTTCTCTCGAGGTCTCGAGATACACAAAGCGGTTTCTCGCGAAACTCTAAAGGAGGGACTTGTCAGGCCGCTAGCACAACCGTGAGCGGATCACCGAACGTGAGCGGATCACCGAACACCTGGCTTGCCATCCTGCAAGCCCAGCCATGGCCTGTTCGGATGAGATGGCGGGGCGCAAGAAGAAAATTCTCTTTTCCCTCAGTGTGCCTTTGCGCGTTTAGTTTTGCGGGCCGAGTCCCCGTGTCCACGCTGCCAAGAGCTGATGGCGTTGACACGCCTCACCACCTGACCGCCTGAATGCACGCGCACGCGCACCGCCATGGCGCTGTCGGTGGACGCCTTTGACCATCTCGTGAACGAACTTCAGTCAGAGCTATTTTCCGACGATCTGCAGCCGCCACGTGCTGCCCGCGGCACATGGACGCACGCGCGCTTGCTCGCCTTCTTTGAGAGTGGTGGCGTCGACGGCTGCGGTCTTAGCGGTGGCGGTGGCGGTGGCGACGGTGGCGGAGGCGAGGGCGGCAGAGTAGACGGTGGCGGAGACGAGGACAGCAGCGAGGTTGGCAGTGAGGGTATCGGCGAGGATGGCGGCGAGGGTATCGGCGAGGACGGCTCGTCTCCACCGCCGGGGTTTGTTCCGCTGCCTGGCGTGAGCGAGCCTGCTGATGGCGCGGCAGTTGCGGCCGCGCTCGATGATGGCCGCCGAGTCGCTGTCTTCTCCTCTGGCGGGGATCTGTACGCCGTCGACGCCGACTGCCCGCACATGGGCGTCGGCCTAGAGGAGGGAGACATCGAGGACCTGGGGTCGGGCCCGTGCGTCGTCTGCCCGTGGCACGGGTGGAGCTTCGAGCTGCGCAGCGGCTACTGCGAGCTGATGGACTCGTACATGCTGCGCGCGTACGACGTGCTCGCCCTCCCGGACGGATCCCTGTGCGTGAGCAGCGCATCCAGGCCGCCGCCCGAGCCACCCAGCGGCCGCGACGAAATCGATTGAGTGTTACGGTGAACAGCCGCCTGTGTCGAGAAAGATGAAAGAATACACTCATCACTCTATGGGGCTTACTGCTCTCTGAGACTGACATAAACGAACCCGACACGACGTACACGTATAGAGACGGCAATGAGGGGGTCTGAACTTAATCAGTCCACCACCGCCCACAAGAGATGGCGGTACTCTCGCTCGACCGCCGCCGGCTCGAAGCCGCGCCGCAGCAGGAGCTGCACCCAGTTGAGGGCGTGGTGGGCGCGGTACTCGCTCATGAAGAAGTCGTGGCGCGTGCCGTGCACCACGTCGAAGAAGTGCGCTAGCTTGTGCACGCAGAGGCCGTAGAAGTAGCAGTAGACAAACGGGTCCGCGCGCACGTCGGCGAGGCCCTTGGCCGCCTTGTGCTGCTCCACCGGCGCGAGGTTGAAGAGCAGCTTCTGCCGCACGAAGCGGGACGCGGCGCCGCGCTCGTAGAAGAGAGTCACCTTGGCCGCGTCGAACCCAAAGACCTGTTCACAGCTGTAGGTGTGAAGAGACGCTGTTCACAGCACCTGGCCGCGTCGAGCCCAAAGACCCGGTCGCACACGTCGCGGAGAGCGCCGCAGCTCTGCTTGACGAGCTCCTGCCTGCGGTGGGTCGCCTCGTCGTAGATCTGGGAGAGGGTCGGCCGGTTGTGGAAGAAGGCGATATCGGGCGGCGAGCCGTCGTCCCGCTCGCCAAAGTTGCCCACGCGCACGAGGTCGTACCCTGGCGTCCTCTTCACCGCCGCGACGACGCTCGCGCCCTCGGCCGCCGCCTCGCCCTTCCCCACCGGCACCTTCCGCCCCTCGACGTCCGCCAGCTCCACTGCCTCGCACCGGCGCAGCACCCGGTCCATCCCCTCCGGCTCTGGTTGCGGCGGCGCCGCCCGCCGCCGCGCCTCCAGCCGCTCGGCGAGCGCCCGCCTCGCGGCCAGCTCGCTCTCCTCCCAGCCGAGCGCTGCCCGGTACTCGACCCGCGCCACCGACTCCGACCGCCCGTCGTCGTCGTCGTCGTCCTCTCCCCCCGGCCCCGCCTGGCTGGCCTCGGGCGGCGGCGGCGGGCGGGCGTGGGAGGGGTCGCCTCTCGCGCCCACACCGCCTTCCTCCAAGCTCGCCCGAGGCCCCGCCGCCGCCTCCTCCTGCTCCGCCCGCTCCCGCGCGTCGCCGATCCCCTCGTCGAGCGTCGGAGGCCGCATCAGCACACTCGGCTCGATTGCGCACGTCTCGTCGTCGCCCGCCACCGTCACCACCGCCGAGAGGGCGTCACCCGCGGCGCGCACCCTCTCCAGCCGCCCCACCAGCAAGACGCCCTCCCCGCCGTCCGCCTCCTCGCGCAGCTCCTCGGGCAGCGCCGAGGGCGGGAAGAGGACGCGGCTCCCCACCAGCGGAGAGAGCTCCTCCAGCGAGGAGCCGGCGCGGCGCGGCCTCCCCTCCGCCCCGCTGTACCGCGTGCCGAGCGATGGGTCGAAGGACTGCACCGGCACGCGGTAAAGGTTGAGGACCTACTCACAGCTGCAGGTGTGCAGAGACGCTGTTCACAGCACCGGCACACAGGTTGAGGGGCCTCGGGCATCTCGAGCGGGTCGTCCACGTCGAGCAGCTCGACGAGGAGCATCCGGTCGCGCACGCTGCCCTCGCCGAGGTAGCGGTCGAGCTCCGTCGCGAGGCACGGCCTCCAGCGCTTCAGCACCTTTTGCAGCAGGCGGTGGCTGTGAACAGCGTCTCTTCACACCTGCAGCTGTGAACAGGTCCGTCAGCACCTTTTGCAGCAGGCGGTGGCTGCTCGTCTGCCGCTGCACGGCTGGCGCGGCGGCGGTGCCGGCGGCGGCGGTGCGGGCGGCGGCGGTGGATCGGCCAAGCTTGAGGTAGAGAGCCGGAGCGCCGCTCGCCTCGTCGATGACGGTGATCGAGTCGGAGCCGTCTCCGCCGTCGACGTCTCCCTCTCGCCGCGGCCTCAGCGTGACGTCGAGGGCCCGCCCGCCGCTCTGCACCACCTCGAAGCGGCTCCGGATCTCCTCCACGGCGACGATCCGCCCATGCCGCAGCTCGTCCACGCCTCGCCCGCACGAGTCGGCTCCGGTGGGCTGCCGCTTGAGCGCGGAGGACGCGCTCAGGTGCGCCCAGCGCCGGTTGGTGGAGATCGCGCGCCGCAGAGACACGCGGAACGCGCGCGATCGCAGCGACCGATTCCAGCTCTCGAGCTGGAGGGTCACCGGGCCGGCGGCGCCTGCGTAGAGCACCTCGTTGATGCGCTCCTCCGCCATCGCGACGAGCGGCGCGTCGGGCCGCTCCTGGGGAGAGGCGTGGCGAAGCGAGGTGAGGTACGGACGTGTCCATGGTGCGGTGGGGGTGGCAGGGCCGTGGCGGTGAAGCTCCTACGCGGCAGAGGAGAGGCGGCGGCGCCGAGCATTCATCTCGGGCACTCTCGAGCGACCTCGCCTGTACGGCAGAGGAGAGGCGGCGCGCGCCGAGCCGGAGCGCCGCCGAGGAGGAGAGGGAGGGGTGGACGGCCGGGAGGTGGCCGCTCGGAGACTTGTCGACGCGGCCGTCGAGCCACGGCGCGTCGTCCACGAGCAGATTGGGCGCGCGCCGCAGTCGCCCGGAGCGGTCCGGGATGAGGAGGCCGGCCGAGGGCAGCTCGCCCGCCTCGTAGAAGACGCGCAAGCCGGCGAGGTCGGCGAGCGCCGCGGCCGAGCGGAGCTGCGCCGCGTCGAGGGGCGCCTCGCCGGCGGTGGCGTGCATCTCGTCCATCCAGCTGACGATCTGCGCGAGGCTCGGGCTGCGCGGGCAGTCGAAGAGCGCGTGCAGCTTGAAGCGCGAGAAGGCAAAGACGGCGTCGCGCAGCGTGTACGCGTGCGGCGGCGCGCCCTGGCTGAGGTCGACGAAGACGCGCGAGGGGGCGATGAACTCGAGCGGCCGCCGCTCGAGAGAGTACCCGTTCTCGAGGAGGACGATGCGCTCGTCGGCCAGACGCGACAGCGTGGCGGGCTCGGCCGTGGCCAGGAAGGGGTAGCAGCCGAGCTCGAGCTGCTGCCGAAAGCTGCCGCTGCGGCCGGTCCGAGAGCGACCATCGACCCAGCTGTCCCTCTGGTCGCGCTGCCAGGCTTGCAGCGTGGCCGGCGGCAGCGAGGTGATGGCGAGCAGGTGGCCGAAGAGCTGCTCGTACGTCGCGTTGGGGAAGGCGCCCGCGCCGGCGATGAGCTCGGTCGGGACTGCGCGCGCGTTCGGCACCAGCAGCACCGTCGCGTGCGACCAGCAGGCCGCGCTGAGCAGGTGGGTCGAGCTCGTCTCTTGCGGGACGATGTTGCCGCGGAGCGGTACCAGCACGTCTGCAGGCCCGCCGGCTGCGCGGTAGAAAGCGAGCAGCGCAGCGACGGGCGGCGCGGGCGCGAGCTCCTCGGCTGCCGTCGCGGACTCGAGGAAGGCCCTCGGCGGGGCGGTGAAGGGCGCGGCGAGGCGCAGGCTCCCGAGGTGGCGAAGCCACTCGTCGAGCGGCGGCTCGCCCAGCTGCTGGGAGTCGTCTCGCAGATGGCTGAAGCTCGCGAGGAGCGCGTCGACGACCTGCCTCGCCTGCGCTTTCAGCTCCGGCGTGGCGGGCTGCCCGCTGGCAAAGGCGGCGGCCGCGGCGGCGTCGACCGTCTCCGCGGCGCCGCTGAAGGCGGAGCGGGTGAGGGACTGCGCCATGCCGCAGCGGCGAAGCCACTGCAGGCTGCGCTCGGTGCGGAGGGACGGGTGCGGCAGCCTCTTCGGGAAGAAGGCGACGTGCAGCTCGAGCTCGGGGTCGAGCAGCTGCTCTGCGCGCAGGCCGCCAAAGAGCGGGGAGGCGCCAAAAAGGTCGCCGAAGGAGGAGGCGCCGCCGTCGGGCAGGGCGACCCGCTCGTCGCACAGCTCCTCGTAGTACCTCTGCAGCTCGAGCAGCTGTGCGACCCGAGCCTCCTCGTCGAGGGCGCCCCACCGTGGAAAGACCACGCTGGCATAGTAGTCGGCGCGCGCCATGCTCTGGACCTGGAGCCGCGAGTACAGGACCGAGCGCGGCGCCGCGGCGGGGATGCGGGCGAGGAAGCGCGACGAGGCGCCGCCGCCGGGCGCGAGCAGCTCCGCGGGGAAGCCTCCGTCGGCGGCGAGCGTCTTGAACTGAGGCTTGAGCCAGCGCCGCCCCTCCGGGCCGAGGGCGCCGCAGCAGCTCGGGCCGAGCGAGTCGCCCTCTGAAGAGAGAGAGTCGCCCGCCTCGTCGCCCGCCTCGTCGCCCGCGCGCTCGAACTCGAAGAGCGGCAGGCGTGCCACGTCCCGCAGCGCCGCCTCGTCGAGCGAAGCCGCGTCGCGAGAGATCAAGTCGAGGATCGAGGCGCGCTGCGCCGCACCCAGCTGCCCCCAGTCGAGGCCGCCCTCTACCGAAAGCGCCGTCAGGGCAGCCACGATCCCGCCGCCCGTGAGCGGCCGCAACCGGCTCGCGAGCGCCTTGAGCTCGTAAGACGTGTCTGCGATGGCGACGCCAACAGCGCGCAATGCCGCACAAGCGAGAAGGTCCTCGGTGGCGGACGAGCCCCCTCCTCCACCCCCACCCTCGAGGCCGCCACCGCCGCCTCCGCCGCCGCCGCGCGTGCTGCCGCCCGAAGCGAGCACCGAAGTCGCCCTGTCGAGGCGCACCAGCAGCTCCCCGCACGGGATTAGCGGCCAAGGGCCGAGCCGCGCGAGCAGCTCGTCCGCCACCGAGCCGTCAAGAAGAGCCGTGCGGTCGATCGCCGCCCACAGCCTTCTCAGCCACTCCGCCGGCGCCGCTCGCCGCCAGTCCGAGACGGACGCCTCCCCTCGCCACCCGCTCGGCAGCGACATCTCCACCGCATCGGCCGCGGTGAAGGGGCGCACGAGCAGGCCCTCCCTGCAGGGCCAGAGCAGGCGCGCGCAGCTCTCTCCCACCGACCCCTCCTCGCCGGCGGCATCCTCGACCATCAGGCTCGAGGCGGCCGGGGACCGCGCCAGCGCCGCGCCGCACGAGGCGACCAGCTTGCCCGAGCCGGACTCCGACTCGAGGCCGAGCAACAGCGACTCCTCCCCACGCCCCGGCGCCACGGAGAGGGCGCAGATCGACCCGTCGCGCAAGCAAACGATCGGCAGGCCGGCGAGCGCCCGGCCCGACGCGCCGACCAGCAGCCCACACCGCATGGAGACGTGCCCCTCCCATTTCAGCGGCCGCAGGCGGACCTTTGAGGCGAAGGCGCCTCCGGCAGCAAATGGCACCCGTTTGTGCGCCTCGTCTTGCGGCTGGCAGGCCGTGTCAAAGTCGGGCCCGCCCGGCGCCGGCTCCCACGCCCCTCCGTCCACGCTCAGCTCGATGCGCACGCGCTGCACGTGCTGCCGGTGCCTCCTGCGCCCCTGCAACACCACGCCGAGGATACGAGCCTCCTCGCCCAAGTCCAGGACGACCCACTGCTGGTCGTCGTTCCTCGCGGCGCTCCAGGCCTGCTCGGAGTCGAGGGCGCTGCGCGCGTGGCCGGTGCCGGCAGCGTCCTTGCGAAAGACGCTCGAGTACACGCGCCACGCCTCGGGAGGGTTCACCTCCGTCACGGGAGCCGTCGGCGCGTCGGAGAGGACGTAGGCGAGCAGGCAGCGGCACGCCAGCCGCCTCGCCGAGGGGTCGAGTCCCGTGAGGTGCAGCAGGACGCCCTCGCCGCCGCCTCGGCGCATCCAAGCGCGCACGGTCGAGGGCTGGAGCGGACGCGGCGCCGGCAGGCCAAGCGCCTCCGCAGCCGCCACAAACCCCGCGTGCGCCGCCGCCGGAGCGTGTGTGATGACGCACGCGGCCTCGCTTAAGACAATCGCCGTCTCCGCCGCCGCAGCCGCCGCCTCCGCGCCGGCGGCGTGCAGGAAGAAGGCTTCTCCCGCCGCCGCCCACCCGCCGCTCACCGTGTGCAGCACCCTGCACGGCGCCGCCTCCGGCTCCCCTCCCCGCCCGCCTCGCTGCGCGGTGTGCCGGCGAAACACTCGCCACACCGCGCTGCCCGGCTGCAGGAGCAGCGAGAAGCAGCCGCCAGCCGCGGCGCCAAAGACCTGGCCCGCGCCCGCCGAGGCAGCGGGCAGGAGGGCGTGCACCACCTCACCCCGCTCCGCCGAGCCCAGCCGCAGCCCGCCGCCGCCTCCCCCGAAGACGGCCCCGGCGGCGAGCTCCCGGAGCAGCCGAGCGTACGCCGCGGCGCACACGCGCGACGCGAGGAGCAGGTTCCACTCGTGCCTCGGCCTTGCGTCCTCCGGCGCGAGCGAGTTGCGGTCGCTGGCGATCTCCCACCGGCCGTTGAGGTGGACGGGCAGGCCAGTCGGGATCGGCAGCGGCAACGTCGCGTAGGCACGCCCCGCCAGCCGCGGCGCAAGCTCCCACTCCGCGCCGGGGGCGTGCCGCCGCGCGACGAGCGCCGCCGCCGCACCGCTCGGCATCAGCGTCAGCTTCTCGGAGCGCTGCCTCGGCGCCGCGGCGTAGGCGACGTCCTCCTTGTCGCCAAACGTCTGCGACACGAGCCACGCCTCCTCGAGCTGCGCCGCGCCCGGACGCTCCAGCTGCAGCAGAAGCGGGATCAGCGGCCGCGGGACTTGATCGGGGTCGGCCGCGCGCATGGCGGCGAAATAGCGCAACGCGCCTGGCGGACCGCCGTACTCGTCCTGCTGCGGCGGCGGCGCCTCCGCCAAGCGCTCCTTGACGTGCCGCAGCTGGGCGCCCCGGTCCTCCCGCAGCCGCGCTGCAGAGGAGGCGTCCGGCGGGGAGGCCGCGGGGAGGGCCGTCGCCGAAGCGAGCAGGCTCATCTGCTCTGCGCCGGGCGGCCAGACGTACACCTCGATCCGCTCGACGAAGCGCAGGAAGAGCAGGCGCCGGTGCAGGGTCGTCTCCCGCCCCTCGCCGCTCCCCTCGTACAAGAAGGGGTCGACGATCTGGCGCAGCACCTCCTCGAAGCTTGGCGCGCCGCCCCGCCCGTCCTTGATCCTCGAACGGCCCGCCGCCTCGCGCGTCCGCAGTGGAAGGCGAAAGAGCGTCCCCTGCCCGCTGCGCGTGCGCCAGCAGCCCGCGTCAACGTCGCAGCCGAAGATGCCTTGGAAGGGGGCGAGCTGGTCGGGGCAGGCGCGCGACAGGCTGGACGCGTCCTCGCACAGCCCTGGCAGCCCGTCGGGCAGGTGCGCTTCGTGCGGGTCGAAGACGACGAAGTCGCGGCCCGAAACGAACATCGGCGTGTCGGTGACGTGGTAGACAGAGTTGAAGCCGAGGCCGAACTGGCCCGTCTTTGTCGGGTCGCCTAGCTTGGTGCCGTCTCCAACCCGCTGGATGCTCTCATAGTCGTCGGGACGGAACTGCGCGTCGTCGAACTGGTACAGTGCCGCTCCTTGCATGTCCGCCAGCGCGGGAGAGAGCAGCGAGGCGGTGCCAAAGGTCCGCGCGCTGAGCAGCACCTTGAACTCGCTCGAGCCGGCATCGTCGGCGTTCTGCAGCATCTCGTTCAGCAGCTGCGCCGAGGAGTAGTTTCGCAGAATGTCGCGCAGCCGGGCGGTGATCGGATTGACCTGCTGCAACGTGCGGCGCTGCGAGCGATGCGAGGGCGGCGGCGAGGGCGGCGGCGGCAAAGGCGGCGGCGAAGGCGGCGGCGAAGGCGGCGGTGATGGCGGTGGCGAGGGCGGCGGCGAAGGCGGCAGCGAAGGCGACCGCGAACGCGGTGGCGAAGCGAAGGGCGACGATGGCAGTGATTCTGGCGGAGAGGGCGGCGGAGAGGGTGGCGGTGGAGCGAAGGGCGACGGCCCAGAGGGCTGTAGGAGACCGCTCGGCAGCGGCGGAGGTGTCCACCGCTGTGGAGCCACGAGGGGGCCGCTCTCGCCTCCGCCTCCTCGGGCGGCGATCCGCTCCACCAGCCGCCTGTGGCTGGCCTCGTCGTACCCTCCTTGCACGCTCCCGGCGCGGCCCTCGTTGAGGGCAGAGGTGAGGCGGCAGAGCCAGTAGGGAAGCAAGTCAGCCCACCTGCACGCGCTGACGCGCAGTGGCCTCGCGTGGTCGTCCTCCTCGCAATCGCACGCGAGGGACTGCTCAAAGACGAGGACGTTGATGTGCAGCCCGGCGGCTGGCGAGTCGGCGAGGGAGGAGCAGACGAAGACGTCGGCGCGGATGGTGGGCATGTAGTAGAGTCCCTCGACCACCTCGCTCACGCTGCTCCGCCCCATCACACGCACCACCACCTCGTGCAGCAGCTCGCTCCAGAAGAGCGCGCCGTACCGCTGCGCGCGCGGCGGCGCGGCGGCGTGCGCCGCCGGCCCTTCGTCGCCGAGCGGCGTGAGGATGCGGAGGCTGGGCGCGCCGGCGACCCCGAGCGGCACGACCGTGCAGCGCTGCTCCGCACTGCGCACCAGCTTGCGCTCGAGCACCTTGCGCTGGGCGAGCACGGCCTCGCGCGAGCTGGCCTATTCACAGCTGTAGGTGTGAAGAGACGCTGTTCACAGCTGGGCGAGCACGGCCTGCGCGAGCGGGCCGGCGTGCCGCCGCCGGGGAGGACGAGGCGGAGGATGGGCGTGGCGGTGCTCTCCACAAAGTGATCCATCTCGAGCACCTGCAGCGGCAACGTGACGCGCTCTCACGGCAGTCGCCTCGCCTCCCTGCGCCTCCGCGGCCCCCGCGTCTCCGCCGCACCCGCTGGCCGCCGACGCGGGCCATGTTTGCGATGCGGCTCCCGACGGCCGCCGTCTCGTAGGCGACCGGAATCGCCTTGGCGTCGGAGCCGAGCGGAGGCGCCTTGACCTGCACCTGCCGCCCCTCGCCGCCGCCGCCGCCGGAGCGCGCGCTGCGCGTCGGGTCGATGAAGACGGAGCGCTCGAACGCGCCGCCCACGCCGTCGTCATACAGCGCCGCGTCGGCTCGGACGTCGGGGTTCACACGCGCGTTGCCGTCGCTCCGCTCACGCGACCGGAGCTCGCTCTGCACCAGCCGCTCCAGCGCGCCGTCGCCCAGCTGCGCCCGCACGTCCTCCACCGCCAGCACGTCCACCAGTGGCTTCTGCGCCGGCCCGCGCGGCTTGTGGGCCTTGCGTGACGCGTGCTGCGGCAGGCCGACCCGCTCGCCTACGGGACGTGTCTCGGACATGTCGCAGACGTGTCAGGGGGCGGGGGAGGAGACGCCGGTCTCCGCTCGCCGCCAAAGGCGCCCTGGTTGGCGCTCGGGACGCTGAACTCGTTACCGCTTCCGGAAGGCGCGGCAGCAGAGGCGCGGCCGGCCAGCGTCGCGCCTCCTAGCGGCGGCGGCGGCGGCGGCGGCGGCGGCGGCGGCGGAGGGGCCGGTGACGTCGCCGGCGAAGGAGGAGGCAACATGGCCGGGGTGGGCGCTGCGCGCTCTCGGCCTCTCTCCTTGTCCCTCTCCCTCTCCCTCTCCCTCTCCCTCTCCCTGTCCCGCTCTCGGTCGCCACCCGCCTCTGCGTGCACAGGCTCTCCAGCGCCGCCGTCGACCAGTCGGCAGAGATGCCGGCGTGCGAGGGAGGCTGGCAGCGAGAGGGACCGCTCGACGGTGGTCCCGTCCGCCAGCCGGAGAGAGACGGCCAGCCGAACCTGCCCGCCGCCCGTGCTCGCCAGGAACTCGTCCATTGTCTGCGGCGGCTTGACTGGGCGCGGGCGCGGCTGCTCGCAGGCGGCGCAGGCAGCCTCGCCGGGACGGTTCTCGAGAGTGCATGCCGGACACGTCCACATCTCGGACGGGCCCTCGGTCCTGCTCTCAGCGACCAACTCCTCGAGCAGCTCGTTGATCACGCCGTCCACATCATCGCCATGCCGCGCAATACGGAGGCGGAGGTCGGCGTCCGACAAGCCGTCACCGACGACCGCACGGACGGCCTGTAGCTGCTCGAGCTTTGCAGACGGCTGCCGCGCCGCGATCGGGTTGCCTGAGAGGTCGTATACTGTGGGCTGCGGCTGCGGTGGCTGCTGCTGCGGCATACTGCTACTGCTGCTGACTGCGACGCCACGCCGCCGAGCCATCTGCTGCTGCTGCGGTGGCTGCTGCTGCTGCTGCGGAGGCTGGAAAGCTGGCGCGCCTGGGTATGGCGTGGCGGCGGCGGTGAAGCCAGCCTCGCGCAGCCGCTCCGCTCGCTCGAGCGCGCGCGTCGCACTCACGCGGAGCAGCGCCTTGACAGTCGGGTCGCTCTCCTCCGACAGAGATCCGAGGAGCGACTCGGCCGCCTGCTCGTAGAGCGCCCTCGCAAGAGCCGCGTCGCCGCCCGCGTCGGCCGCCTCGGCAGAGGCGAGAATGTCGTTTCCGGGCGCCTTGTGGCGTCGTCGGCCCCAGCCGAACATGGCTCATGGATGGGGTTGTCTCTCTCGAGGTCTCCAGGTTGTTTCCTTGATACTGAGCACTTGAGCACTTGACCCGCCAGAAAAACGGTATGGCGGTGGAGTGCTCTCTACTGCCGCGGCGCCCCTGTCGGTTCGGAGGCGCCCGGCGGCCGCGCACTTGGTGCCGACGTCGACCAGCTGCTCTCGCGGCGCCGAGACGTGCGGCTTTGGTCACGTCACGCGCGCTGCGAGGTGTCTGGCATGTTGGCGCTTGGCAAAGACGCCAGGAAGCTCGCCTTGTGCCCCCGAGTTCATTTAATAAAAAGCTCGCCTTCCTTGCCTGCGGCCGCGGGCGTGCGGGCGGGCCCGCCAGGCTCAGCGAAGCTCGGCGCGGGTCTTCGAGCTCGCCGCCGGAGGCGAGCCAGCATGGCTCGTCGCTCGACGGGAGCCTGTCCGGTATGCTCTGGGCATGCTGTACAGCATCGCCAACTCTCTGGAAGGAGAGCCGGAGACGGAGACGGGCGGGAAGAGGCGGCGCATACTCTGATGCTCTTCCGGCATCGCGATCGGGAAGTAGCCGCGGAGCGACACCCTTCGAGTAGGGCTCGGGCGCGCCCCGCCCGGCAATTCTTTTTTTGAGCACGCATCCGAGACTATGGGTACGCTGAGCGAGCGATGATCGCTCTGGACCTTCGCGTGCTCCGTCCGCAGCCCGGCGCTAGCAGCAGCAATGCCGTGCTAGTATGCGGCGCTGCCTCCGACGCCGAGCAGCACGAGCTCTACCTCGAGCTTTGCGACTCTGTCCGCGGGTCTGAGCAGTGGATCGAGCTCTCCAAATCGTCGTGTGCCGGCGCCGCGCGCCCGCTGCCGCTTTGCGTGTGGCAGCACCCTCACACGCGCCAGACCAACGCTCGGGCCAAGCCGCGGTTGGTGCTAGACTGGGCGCACGGACTCGCTCAGCGCACCGCCGCCAGTCTTCGAGCGGCTGGCGAGGCGGCGGAGCTAGCTGAGGCGATCGACGTCGCCAAGTACGACTCGCTCGTCTCGCTCCTCTATGCGGAGGGAGACCTCCCATCGGCAGTTCCCTGACGACCGAGGAAACGTCCGCGCCACGACCACGACATGCCTCGTAGGGGCGACTCTGCCACCCCATGTCGACCGAGGGCTGCCCGGCGCAGGTCTCGCCCTCTCTCTCGGCGCGAGCGCAGCCTTTGACTTTGGAGGTGAGCCTGTCATGCGCGCCACCCGCGCTGCCGCCAGCCACAGCGTCCCTGCCAGCACACACACACACACACACACACACACACACACACACACACACACACACACACACACACACACACACACACACACACACACACACACACACACACACACACACACACACACACACACACACAGCTCCCTCCACCCACGGCAGGCGCTCGGCTGGAGCTGCACTCGGGCGACGCGCTCTTCGCCGACTTCAGCCGCGTGCGCCACGCCGTGCTCGCGACTCATCCCCTCGCCAGCGCGCCGGCGTGGTGGAGGGCACTGCCGGGCGGAGGAGGAGGAGGAGGAGGCGGCGGAGGAGGAGGAGGCGGCGGAGGAGGAGGCGGCGGCGGAGGAGGCGGCGGAGGAGGAGGCGGCGGCGGAGGAGGAGGAGGTGGCGGCGGCGGCGGAGCGAGCCCGCTGGGGCGTGCTCGTTGTTCGCTATTGCTGCGCGACAGGGCGTGGGCGCTCAAGCCGCACCCGTCCCTTCCGGGCAGCTTCACGCGGCGGGCGCGGCGCAGCGAGGCGCGCGCCACCCTGCGCATGTCCGCGCCGCCGCCGCCGCCGCCGCCGCCCGCGAAGTCGCTTCGTCGACTCGCTGACGGCGCGCGGGGCGAGCTCTCCTCGGCAGAGGGGTTGGATTCACCAGAGGGCGCGGCCTTGCCCGAGGGCTCGCCGGAGGAGAGGGCCTTTCGCGCTCAGCTCGACTTGGTGTGCGGCAAGCTGTCGCGCCTGCAGGCGAGAGGTAGGAGGGAGGGGTGGAGGGAGGGAGGCGTGAGAGAGGGGCCCGAGAGGGTTGCGGGTCGTTGCTGGGGCCCCCACGCCGTGCGCCCCCCCGCTCCTGCTTCGCAGGCGGTGCGGCGCCCCGACGACCTCGAGGCGACGCCGTCGGACGCCGACTTTGCGCGGCTGGTTGCCTTGGGGCGGGCCTTCGGCGGGGCGAGCCTTTGCGGCCTGCTACCCTCGCCCCTCCAGCGGCGATGGCGCAGGAGATTCGGCTGCGGCGAGTGCGGCGGCTCGCGCAGAGTGCGCTGCCCGACGTGCAACGGCCGCGGCGGGTACGAGGCCATGGGTGGCGTGCCCGTCGCGTGCAAGTCGTGCCGCTCCACCGGACGCGTGGTGTGCCGCGCTTGCTTCGTAGGCGACGGGTTCGACATAGATGCTATCCGGCGCGACATGGGAGTGCCGGATTGAGAGCGATGGGAGTAAACCGAGTTGACCAGGACCGTTGACGTACATATGACGGGGGGCGTGCGCGCATCGTTTTCTGCGTGTAGACCGTCTGCGACACGATAATACGTTTTTCGTCGAAATGGTAGACCACCCCCGCCTCAAACGTACGGACATCATTTTCAAAGCACAAAGGCGGTTTCGAAAAGTTGATGAGACCTCGTCCCCCCTCAGACACTACACCGTGGGAACCCCACAATTCCCTCTGCCGCCTGGGACCTCTCTTCCCAGTCTGGGGGTAAGGCACTCCCACCGGCACCGCTACGACCTCCTGCGCCGGCCCCCGTCAGCCTCACGCCGCGCCCTGTCGCGCTCCCTCTGCCGCTTCTGCTCCCGCCTCCATGTGTGTCCCTCTCCTGGTATTCTTCACGCCAATCGATAAATTCTTGAAAGTTCATGTTCTTGGGCTTGTTGCCAACCGAATCCGCTGAACCAGAAGACGTCGAATCGGAATCGCATTCGGCCGGCGCTAGAGCAGCATGGCGTGCGGCTACGCGTCTCCCCAAGTTGAAGAGCCCCTTACCCACCGCAAACGCAGCGTCAGCACCAACAGCAGCAAGTGGAACTACGACATCGGCCAGTGCATCGTTGTCGGAATCGTTGCTGTACTCTTCATCCTCGTCGTCGTCGTCGTCGTCGTCGTCGTCATCGTCGTCGTCGTCGTCGTCGTCATCGTCGTCGTCGTCCTCCTCCTCCTCCTCCTCCTCCTCCTCCTCCTCCTTCTCCTCCTCCTCCTCCTCCTCCTCAACAACCTCCTCCTCAACCTCAACCTCGCTCGACTGCTGGGCACCCATGCAAGCAAGACAGATGGCGCTTCACTGCGTTCCCTGTTTTCTTTCTTTCTTTAAAGGCAAATTTGCTCGTGTTGCCCGCCGCCTGCGTAATGTGGAGGCCAAATACTCTCAGAAGGCGGGCAACACGGGCAAATGCCAAATCTGTTCTGTTGTGTTTGGGGGTCGCACCTTGGCAAGAGAGAAAGCGGATATAAAACAAGAACACAACGCACTCTCTCAGAGGCCTACTCGCCCAAGTACAACAACAAGTACAGTTCCGGACGGGCATTAAGAACCTCTAACGTTAAGAACCTGAGGCTCATATTTCGGCCGGATCCCTAAGAACTCCCTAAGAACCTGAGGCTGGGCCAACGCCTGCAGCCGGCGCCCCTGCCCCCGCGGCCGCAGCCGCAGGGGCAGCTCACGGCAGCGAATGACTCTCTTGTCACGCCATGCGCGAACTTACTGTTCCAAACTTCCAAACTGTTTTAAGACCCATTTATTGATTTTTAATCGAAGCCGAAACGGTTTAAAAAACCATCCACCCGGTTAAGAACCTGAGGCTCGGCCCCCGACGGACCGCCGACTTAGCTAAGAACCTGAGGCTGGGCGAAGAACCTGTGCGTTCTTAATGCCCGTCCGGAACTGTACTCGCTCTCTTTTATGTCCCACCATGCAGAGCGCATATCTCTCTCTCTCTTGTGCGAGGCGTGAACCGCGCCATTCGCTCTCACCTGGCAACCCTGTCTGCACGTCTCGCGCGCGCGTGAACAGGGCTCCAGGCCCCAAATGACGTGTGAGTGTTAGAGTTGTTTGGTATTGCTAAAAATCTCTCATGACAAGCGATCCCACGATTGCGAATGTGGGGACGACCGATGTGTGTGTGTGCGTGGAAGCGATCCCAAGGGGGGGAGCCGATCCCACTCGTAACCAACTCTCAGGGGCAGTAGGTGGGCGAGCTTCAGGCGCGCTCATCTCGATCGACAAGGCGTGGCTACGCGCGGCCTTCCGCGGGGGGAGCTTCGTCGACGGGTGCGGGACCGTGGCGCAGACAGCGCTGCGGCGATGCCTCCGGCTGAGCTGCGGCGAGTGGCTTGCTGCTCGCTGCGATGGCGAAAAACTCGTCTCGTCGCACACCAAGGGCTTATGCTCTGGCGAGACGTGAGGCGCATGCGCCCAGGAGGGGAGGGCGCATGCGTAACGACGCTGCTAGAGATGCCTTTCGGGGCCCAGAGATAAAACTTCTGATGCCATGCGTGACCTAGTAGTGTCCCCAGCTATGGGCGTGTCCATGTTGGAGCCAGGTGTGGTATGGACGCGAGAATAGCTCCGCCGTTCATGGAGGCAACCGATGCGAGTCGACTGGTGTGTCGTCGTGGTTTCGTATCAAGAATACTCACTCACACACGTCTCACACGACCGATGACACGACACCGTGAAACGACACCGTGAAGGCGCCGAGGTTTTATGTGAAGGCGTCTTGGGGCCGGGCTTGTGTTTTTGTGTGAAGGCGCCGTGAAGGCGCCGTCTGCGCGGGCCCCCCGTTATCACGTCGGAGACATATGCTCGCCGCCTCTATGCTCGCCGCCTCTGTCGCGCGCGGGCAAAATGCCAGCGAGCTCGGCCTCCTTTGCCACGCCTTTCGATCCGCGCCCTTGCGCGCGCGTCACTGCCGCGTCACTGGCGGGTTTGTAGAGAACTGCGACCTCAACGGCATCAGGGCGGCCTGGCGTGAGGGCGACGCGGCCGAACTCCCGTCCACTTGTATCGCCGGCGAGTGCTACCTGACCAAGCCAGGCGGTAGCAGCTGCTCGAGCGCAGCGATCTGCTACGCCAAGCGCTATCGGGCCATAGCCCGCAAACTCTGCCACGGGCGCCTCAAGCGTTGCGACCCGTGGGATATATTTCGGCACTACGACGAGACGGGCCGCGCTCAGGGCCGCAGATTTGGCTGCCCGGGCACTCTGCTGTTCCTCGAGCACCTCGGCAACCATTCCAATGGAAGTGCGTCGCCCGGCTACATGGGCCTCTCTTCGCATCCGAGCGACGAGGAGCTCCGCGCGCGCTGCTCGACGGAGACGTGCAGCCTGCGCCCACTGTCGCCCTCGCTCTACCTCTGGACGATGGCGAGCATGCTCCAGGCCTCTCTCCTCCCCCACTTTGTCTCCCACTACGTGGGCCTCGGAGTGCGCGCGACGCACATGAAGTTTGTGCTGCACCGAGGCGAAGCGGGCGCGGCCACAGCCAGAGAGGCCGACGCCGCTCTGCGGCGCCTCGGCGTGGTGCACGTGACCACGGTCGCCACGTACCACACCGTCATCAAGCGCGACCTGGTCAACTTGCACATCCTCTCCCTCCCGCCGGTCGACATGGGGGCCCTCAAGCTCTCAACCCGGAGGCACATGTGTCCACTGACCCGTCCTGGGACCCGTAGGACTCGTGGCTGCTGTACGCAGACGTGGACGAGCTCTTCCAGTTTCCGTGCCCGGTCGTGCAGCGCGTGCTCGCGGCGGCGGGCGGCGCGGGGGCGGTCGTGTGCGGACACATGGTCGACCGGCTCCCAGACCGGCGCGTGCTCCCGCCGATTGAAGCCGGCCGGCCGCTGCACGCCCAGTTCCCCGTCTGCGCGCCGGTGCGGATGGCGCTCAACTCGGCTCTGGGCAGCGGGGTGCAGCACAGCCAGTGGAACTTGCGCAAGGTCATGCTGGTGCGCGTCGGGCCCGCGGTGCAGTTCAAGAGCTCGCACACGCTCATGAAGGGCGGGCCGGTGTGCAGCCAAGACCTGCTCGGATACATCGACCACTACAGCTTCGACGCGGCGTCGGCGGCGCTCTCCCGCCAAAAGCTCGCCGCGTACGACCGCGCGCTCGGCGGCCTCAACAAGCGGGGCCAGCAGTCGGAGCAGGAGCTGGTGGAGCTGGTCACCTCTATGAACGCACGCAGCCAGTACCGAGACTTGATCACCCTGCTCTACAACGTCTCCGCACCAGCCGAGGAGCCGCAGCTGTCGCGCCATGCGTGGGGTCTGATCCAGGAGGCGCGGGTGTGCTGCCCACTGCAGCCTCGAATGTTGGCGCGCTGAGGGGGGGGAGGGGGGGGAGGCAGCCCCGCCGGACCAGTGACGGAGCGCACCACCGCACTCGAGAGTGGAGATTGGGGCGCGATATGCGCACGCGTGGTGTTCTCCGCCCCCGCGCCCCGGCCGTATGCGGAAATTCGGAAACTCGGGATCAACATAGACAGATCCCGTGCCCCCCTGACCCTGCAACCAGCCGCCGGATTGAGAGCGTTGGGGTTAAACCGAGTTGATCAGGACCGTTCTGACGTATACATATATATGTGACTCTCAAAATACAAAAAGCACAAAGCTCGTCATGAAAGCGGCTAATTGTCAAAGGCCGGAAACGGGAAAGGCCCGAATGCCGAAACTTTGAAAGGGGGGCGTTGCGCGTTCCCAGGGAATGCCGTGGGGCTCCTGTCGTCAGACGTGGAGACGCGAGGGTTGCCCCCCCTTGCCCCACCACCTCGTGTGTGTGGAGAAGTTTACCTTACCTTACCTTACCTTCCCAGGGGGCGGGCCCGTTGGCCGGTTGGGGGGCACGTGTGCGCATCTCGTTTTCACTTTTCTGCGTGTAGACCGTCTGCGACACGATAATACGTTTTCGTCATGTCGGACAATCCTGACGCTACCGATCGCATCCACCCCTCTCCAACTGTCCCGACCTACGAAGGTACATCTAGATTCGCGGCCGGCGGGCGCGCTCGCGCGCAGCCCGATGGCTCAGTCGTCGTCGTCTGAAGAGCCGTCCGCCAGCTTGCGCACCTTGCGCGTCGTGTGGTCGAAGCTCTCCCACCTGTCCACAACGGCAGCGTGAAGAGGCGCTGTTCACACCTCGCGCGTCGTGTGGTCCAAGGCTCTTTCTAGGACCCGTCTCCGGCCCGCCGCTTGCCCATCCGCTTCAGGCAGCGCGTGCCGTCTGCGGCGACTCGAGGCCCCGCCGGCTGCAGCGTCAGGTCCCTCACCAGCCAGTGCTCGTCGGCGTGCACCTGTTCCCCCCTCGCGCTGTGAAGAGACGCTGTTCGCGGCCCTGCCCTCGGCCAGTGCTTGAAGGCGGGTGCGCCAGCACAGTCGCGCCGCTGTCGAGGAGCACCTGGCGAGGGGGCCGCATCGGTCACACTCGCCTCCCCTCTCCCCCTCCCCCGCCCAACCCCGAGGAGTGGTCGTGTGGGCGTGTCGTGATCGTGTCACAGTCGTGTCTCCGCCCCCGCCCCCCCTCCCGGGCGGCTCTGCTGAGTCGCGCCCTGTAGGGGAGATTGTATCTCGGAGATTGCATCTCGGGGGCGGCTCTGCTGAGTCACACCCGGTAAGGCGCCAATCCTCCCGCCATGAGAACGTCCCCTCGCCAGTCCTCCGCGACGGCATGGTCCACCTAGTAGACGGCTAATTAACAGCTAATTAACAGCTAATTAATAGCTAATTAATAGCTAATTAACGGCATGGTCCACCTAGTAGACGGCACCGTCATGCGTGAGCACCGCGTGGACACACACGCCGCGAATGCAGTGAACACGGCTGAAAGAACAGCGGAATATAGCACGCACGCGTGCCCTCCAAAAGCAAGATTCTAGGGCGGTCTGCCTCAACCACCTCGCCCGCAGCCCAGTCCGAAAAGTCGCCGCTCTCGTCTTCGACGGCGCACGCGACGCGGTCGCCTAACCTCGGCCATGGCTCCTCTCGGCTCCTCTCGGCTCCTCTCGGCTCCTCTCGGCTCCTCTCGGCTCCTCTCGGCTCCTCTCGGCTCCTCTCGCTCCCCCTCTCGGCCCCTCTCGGCTCCTCTCGGCTCCTCTCCGCTCCTCTCCGCTCCTCTCCGCTCCTCTCCGCTCCTCTCGCTCCTCCTCTCGGCTCCTCTCGGCCCCTCTCTGCCCCTCTCTGCTCCTCTCGGCCCATCCCTGGCGCGCGCAGCCCCTCTCAATCTCTCAATCGCTCTCGGTTCTCTCATTAGCCACTTCGCCCCCCCCCTCCCTCTCGCTCCCCTCTCGCCCCCTCTCGCCCCCTCCCTCTCGCCCCTCTCGCGCCCCCTCTCACCCCCTCTCGCGCCCCCTCTCGCCTTTGCCGAAGCGGCGCCCCGACCGCTGCGAGCCCCGCTTCACAGCCTTTGGCAGGCACATCCGCGTGAACCTACGGGTACCCGGACGTGTCGTGGACGTGTCTCCGCCCCTCCCGCATCGGGCGAACCGCGCCCTCCGAGCGCACCAGAGCCCGTCCTCTCGCGTGCCAAAGCAGACCTAGGAGGAGGAAGAAGGAGGAGGAGTCCGGCCCGCGTCTGGGCAGGCGCCTGGGCAGGCGCCGGGGCAGGGCGACTCGCTGGCCAAAGAGGACCTCGGCGCGGGCGCACTCGTTGGTGTCCTTGGGCACGGAGACGAGGCGGCTCTCGGGCGGGTCGATCTTGACCACGTACGGCAGCGGGCGCAGTCCCGTCGGGTCCGACGGGTCGTCCTCGTTGAGCGCCTGCACTGTGCCCGGCACCCAGCCGCGCGCGCCGCCGACGTTGCAGACGATACGGTCGAGCTTTGCGAAGCGGCGGCCGGTGGCGAGGGCTTTTGCGACGAGCGCGCTCACTCGCCTGTGGATGTACGCCCGGTCCTCCTCGACCAGCTCTGTCCGGCCCTGCTTCTCCATCACGCCGAAGACCTTTTCGAGCACATCCGCCTGGATGTCCTTGACGCCGCCTTCGGTGACCTGCAGGTTCGGGTCGCTCTCCATCAGCGCCTCGTTAGCCACCTCCAGCACCGCCCACAGCATCGCGCCCTCCGCGTCGCTGAGGTCGGGCGGCGGCACCACCCCCTCCGCCGCGTCGGCCACATCAGGAGGCGGCGGCGGCGCATCAAGAGGCGGCCCGAACATCTCTTCCATGGGCGGCGGCGGCGGCGGCGGCGGCGGCGGTGGGGCGGCGTCTTCGGTGGGTGGGGGTGGCGGCACGTCGGACATACAGTCGTAGCTGCCGCTGGAGGGGAAGGCCGGCTCTCTGTCTGGCTGTCGCCGCGCAATTTTCTTTTCCCCTGTCTTCCGAGAATGTCTTTAAGGCCTGGCGTTTGTGCCCCGTTTGTGCCGCGTCCCATGCCCCCATAGTATGTACTGAGAAGTCACTCTATGTAAGTCACTCTATTCACATAAACGCACAACCCGGGCCCGAAATCGCACTCCGTTCACACCTTGTTTCTACGAGGAGCAACGAGGGCGGGACCAGGTGATGGTGGTGATGGTGGTGGCAGTGGCAGCGGTGGTGGTCTGAACCCGAAGCTGAGCCGTGGTTCTGGCGTTGAGTTAATTCGATGGCGGCAGCTATGGCGAGCGTCGCGCGGCCCATGTCGGAGACCAGGCTGACGGCGCGTTGCACAATCTATTGCGACTGGCTCGTATCGCTGATCATTGCCACTGGGGTGGTCTTTGCATGGCGCGGTGCATGGAACATCTGCGACTCGCTGCTGTTGCCGCAGCAGCCGCTTTGGAGTGCGGCCGCGCGCCTGATCGGCGGCAGCGTGCTATTTGTGGTGGCGTGCGTCATTCAGCCGTCGCTCGCGGCGTGGGCGCGCCATCACGATAGGACACGGTGCTTGTGGCTCGTCGACGCGCTGTACACTTACCTCTCGTTCTGGGTCAGCATGCTTACGTGGAACGGCGTGTGGTACATCTACGACCAGGTGGTCGGCATCGGCCTTGCTCCCGCGCCGCCCGACTGGGCGCACGCGCGGCAGGGCGCGATTAGCCACGCGCTCGGGCTGCTGCTGCTCGGGTCGCTCGGCGCGCTGCGCAACAGCGTCGCCGCACCGATGGTCATCTCCTCGGACGCCGTCGCGCCGATCTTTGGCGCGGGTGTCACGGCGGGCGTGGGCACTTGGCTCAACCCGTTTGAGAGGCTGAAGCGCCCGCCCGCGGTGCAGTCGCGCGGGGACTGGCACCGGGCGGTGGGCGTGCCAGTGCTGTGAGCACAGTATGGAGTACTCTGTGGCCTCTTCACACAGCCACGTCTTTTTGCGTTTTGGATACACAACATGTACAAAGGCGATAACGCGGGCTTCGAGGACGTCCCGCGTTGGCGTGTTGTGCACACCCAAATCACTCTCGTTCTATCGACGCTCACACCGCGGCGTCCGGCGACACAACACACGCACACACCACGCACACTGTGACACACATGGGTTGTCACACATGCATACACACACACAACACATCACACACACACACACACACACACACACACACACACACACACACACACACACACACACACACACACACACACACACACACACACACACACACACACACACACACACACACACATGCTCTCTAGCTTGTTCAGACCCACGCCTCGACCTTCTTGGGCAGCATCTGGTCCGACAGGTCCTCTCCGTGGCCTAGGCAGCCGGTCTCGCCCTCGCCCCAGGTAAAGAAGGCGCCGTCGGCGGTGATGGCGAGGCTGTGTTCGCCTCCCGCCGACACGGCGATGACGCGCTGGCCAGCCATGGCCTCGACCTTCTTCGGCAGCAGCTGCTCCTGCTGGTCGCCGTGGCCCAGCTCGCCAAGGCCTCCAGAGCCCCAGCTCCAGAGAGCGCCATTGGCGGTGAGGGCGAGGCTGTGCGCGGTTCCAGCCGACAGAGCGACAACGCGCTGGCCAGCAAAGGCCTCGACCTTCTTGGGCAGCAGCTGGCGCTGCTCGTCGCCGTGGCCCAACCGGCCAAAGAGTCCCTCGCCCCAGCTCCAGACAGCTCCGTTGGCGGTGAGGGCGAGGCTGTGGCTGCTTCCCGCCGACACGGCGACGACGCGCTGCGCCAACACCTCGACCTTCTTGGGCAGCAGCTGGTGCTGCCGGTCGCCGTGGCCCAGCTTGCCACGGCCTCCATTGCCCCAGCTCCAGACCTCTCCGTCGGCGGTGAGGGCGAGGCTGTGGCGGGCTCCCGCCGACACAGCGACGACACGCTGGGCAGCAAAGGCCTCGACCTTCATTGGCAGAAACTGGTTCTGCTCGTCGCCGTGGCCCAGCCGGCCATGGTGGCCATAGCCCCAGTTCCAGACGGCGCCATCGGCGGTGAGGGCGAGGCTGTGGTCGCCTCCTGCCGACACGGCGACGACGCGCTGGCCAGCCAAGGCCGCGATCTTCTTGGGCAGCAGCTGGCGCTGCTCGTCGCCGTGGCCCAGCTGGCCCTGCTCGTCGCCGTGGCCTAGCTGGCCCAAGCCTCCCATGCCCCAGCTCCAGACGGCTCCATCAGCGGTGAGGGCGAGGCTGTGGCCGAATCCAGCCGACACGCTCACAACACGCTCGCCGTCCAGCGTCGACGGGAGCCGCGTCGGCGTGTTGAGCCGCGTCACGCCCTCGCCGTGCCCGAGCAGCCCTGGCGTCCAGTTCTCAGCCTTGCCGCACGACGAGAGCCGCCCCTCGCCGTCGATGAAGACGCTGTGCAAGGAGCCTGCCGCCGCCCTCGCCGGCGGGTTGGACTCGCACAGCAACGCCGAATAGCACAGCCACCGCACGGCGCAGACCTCGCCCTCTGGCTGCGCCGGCAGCTCGAAGCCGCGCTCTCGCGCCCACAAGCGGATGCCCTCCAGCGCAAGCGAGGCGTGGAAGAGGAGCGAGACGGCCGCGACGCGAGCGATGTCGGCGGGGTCGCAGCGAGAGATGGCGCGCACGAGGAGCTCCGTGGGGAGGTCGAGCAGGCGGGCGGGCGGCGGCGTGCTCGGCGAGGGGGCGGCGGTGGAGGGGGCGGCGAGGCGGCGCGAGCGGCGGCGCGGCGGGGTGGACATCGCGAGGAAAAGAGGAAAGAAAATGCGGCGGCGCCGGCACCGCCACCATGCCCGCCCTCGAGGAGAGCTCGATAGACTCGAGGGGCCAGGATATGCAGCAAGGAGGGCGGAGCTGCGCCGAAAGGCGAAAGAAGCCGAGAGAACAAGGGAACGGCAGGCGGCGGCGGCGGCGCAGAACGAGGCAGAGGAGAGCGACGCGACTCGCGACAGAGGAAGAAGCGACAAGGGAGAGCACGACGAGAAGGGGGCGACCGCGAGGTGGCACGAAGGTTGCAGCGAGAATCGCAGAGAGACTGCGAAGAGAGATAGGAAGAGGCGGACGCCCAAGGGTGGGCGCGACGGCTAGCGCACCACACCCCTCTCCTTAAAATCCCTGTGTGGTGGCGGCGTGCCGTTCTCCCCCATCCCTCCCTTGGGTTGTCCGTTTTCTTTCTTTCTTTCCATGCCCGCCCCCACCACCACCGCCTCAGCCCCCGCTGCTGGAGCGGCCACCGGGTCGAGGGGCCGCCCCTGAGGTTAGAAACCCGAGGAGTCACACAGTCCACCTGTGTGATGCACGCCCTGCGAGCGGGGCGGGGTGCGCACTGTGCCTCTGTGTTCGTGTAGAAAGAAAGAAAGAAAACAGACAACCCAAGGGAGGGATGGGAGGACGGCACGCCGCCACCACACAGGGATTTTAAGGAGAGGAGTGTGGTGCTAGCCGTCGCCCACCCTATCCCTTGGTCGTCTGCCTCTTTCTATCTCCCTTCGCAGTCCCTCGCCGATTCTCGCTGCAACGTTACCTTCATGCCACCTCGCGGTCGTCCCACTCTCGTCGTTCTCCCTCCTGTCGCTTCCTCCTCTGTCGGACTGTCGCGTCGTTCTCGTCTGCCTCGTCCTGCGACGCCGCCGCCGCCTGCCGTGTGCGTCGCCCATCTCTCGCTGGAGATTTTGCTCTAGTTATTTAATGAGCTAGCCTTCGATGTCATGAAAACAAACGCAAGGCGGACACAAGCACATCGCTCTCTCGGTCCCACAGACATCCCGCACACCCGCCGCACACCCGCCGCCGCCGCGCGCGCCCCACCCCGGCCGGGAGAAAGGGGAGTGACAGTTAGTTTAGGATTGCAAGTCGAGATACCTCGCACTCCATGTGCGAGAACGCAGAGAGAAAATGAAAGCCGTCCGGCCCCCAAGTCCGGCTCACGCGCCCCGAGCTCGCCATCTACCGCACTGACTGAACACTTCCGCCCCCTCGCTCCCAACCCATCCACCTCGCCGAGTCCGAGATGTGCCGAGACGCCGCAGAACCGCGCAATCTCGGGCGATCTCGGGCCGCGCCGCGGGATCTCGGGCGATCTCGCGCAATCTCGCGCAATCTCGGAGCTCCACGCCGCGCCACCCCACCCCACCCCACCCCACCCACCGCCGCCGCGCTGTCTCGGGCGATCTCGGAGCGTCGCTCGCGCGGCGTCACACTCGCTCGGCTCACTCTGCGCCACTTTGGAGGCGTTGGCGAGGGCCGGTGAGGCGGCCCCCGCGCGGCGCGTTCCTAGTTGCCGCCGCTCGTGGGCTCAACGCAAACACTTTCACTTGAAGAGATGCCGACGGCGGCCTTTCTACCCTCGCTCCTGCTCCTACTCGCCGACCGTTCGTACGCCACGCCGACGACCATCAAGCTCGGCCTCGAGTGGTTCTTAAATCCCGACCACCTGCCGCTCGTCGTGGCGCTGCGCGAGGGCTACTTTGCCGAGGCGGGCCTGGACGTCCAGCTGCTCGAGCCGGCGGACCACTGGGAGGCGGAGGAGGAGATCCTCGCCGGTCGCCTTGACGTCGCGGTCACGGAGACTCTTCACCTGGCGCAGGACGCTGCGCGCGGCAAGCCCGTCATCGGCTTCTCGCGTTTTCTGCACACGGACGGCGGCGTGCTCTTCCTCGGCTCGTCCAACATCTCGCGGCCGTCGGACATGTGCGGCCGCACGATCTCGTACCCGGGCTCGCCGGGCATCGGCGGGCCCGCGATCGTGCAGACGATGGTCGAGGCGGACGGCGGCTCTTGCGACATTGCCTCGTACGGCAAGCACAACGGCGGATTTTATCACGTGAAGGCGCTGCAGGACAAGGCGGCCGCCGTGGCGACGCTGGTCTTCTACAACTTCGAGGTGATCGAGGCGCAGCAAATGGGGCTCAGGCCGGGCTTCTTCTCTCTCAAGGAGTGGGGCGTGCCTGACTTTTGCCAGCTCGTCCTCTTCACGACGCCGCAGCGCCTGCAGGCCCTGCGGCCGCAGCTGCGCCAGCTGGTGCTCGCGATGCGCCGCGCCACCGGCCTGATCAAGCGCGAGCCGGCGCGCGCCGCCAGGATCTACGAGCAGCACGTCAAGGGCAGCGCGGCTGCCGCAGGGACGACCAACCGGAGCGCCCTCGCCAAGGTGGGCGCAGCGTTGAGCGGAGCGGCGGCGATGGTCAACCCGGTGGCGGCGATGCGCCGGCGAAAGGAGCGCAAGCTCGAGGCAGCGATCTTCGACGCGACGCTCGCGGCGCTGCCCAACGACAACAGCCTCTCCGGCGCCTACTTTCAGGGCCTGATGGCGTGGCTCGTCAAGACGGGGCAGGTCGACGCACAGGTGGGCCCCGAGCTGCTGCCCGAGGGCTACTGGACCAACGACATTGCCCTGTGAGGCTGTAAACTAAGAGGGATCCCTCACCGTACATAGAGTGGGAGGAGGTACAGACAGCAGGTGTGTATGCACAAGTACCCAGAGTCTCGCACAAGTGCACCACGCGCCCTCCCCGTGACGGCCGGCCGGAGGGGAGGTGCTCGTGATTGAGCTCTGGGCGGGGCCCGCTCGGCGCTTGCCCCCTCCGGGGGCGTGCAGCTACACCAACGCGCACACACAAGGGGGAGGACGACACACGAGAGCTGCTGCCATTTGTGACGGCGTAGCGACTAGCGTCTCTCAACCGTCAGTGCACGTAGTTGCCCCTTCTCCGAGTCCGACTGCCCCGGCTAGTTCAACGTCAAGGGTTTCGCGGGGAGTGACTCCATGCCCGCATGCCATGATCCATAAAGCCGTAATTGGCCCATGCGTCAAATTTTCGGCAGCAGGCGAGTTTTGTTCGTTCGTAATACTACAATGATACAAACGGATGGTCACTTGTCGCAGTCAGTCACACACACACACACACACACACACACACACACACACACTACACACACGCACACACACACACACACACACACACACACACACACACACACACACACACACACACACACACACACACACACACACACACACACACACACACACACACACACAGTAGTCACAAACTATGTGTGTATGGGAGGTAAATAAAGAATGCGTGAGCCGTGACGCCGCCCGCCTTCCCGGGACAGCCCCGCCCTTGCGCGAGGCAGGAAGGTGACGTCTAGGGCTAGCCCGTGGTACGCTGGATCTGCTACCCCCTCGCCGACCGCCAATCCCCCCTGTCGTCCATCTTGGGAAGTCAACACACTGATGATTAAAAAGAGAGAGAGAGAGAGAGAGAGAGAGAGAGAGAGAGAGAGAGAGAGAGAGAGAGAGAGAGAGAGAGAGAGAGAGAGAGAGAGAGTTGTATGATTAGTACGTCCCTCCCGTCCAGAATCGCGGCGATGGAAATCAGATATTATTTTCCTAACACGCTGCTGGGCTGTAGCCTCGTACCACGGGTATGTATGTACGATACACGTATTTGGTTTGACTGATGATACAATACCTAACGGTCCGAGAGCAAAAAAATCTTTGAGCAGGTGTGCCGCTGCGCGGCGCTCGCGCGGCGGCGGTGTGTG